ATATTCCCTAGCGATAAACGACCTTTACTAACATATTGGCAGTCATCTTTGGCGAAGTCGTACCTCAATCCATCTGCGTTCGATACGGTCTCCAAATCGGTGGTTACATGTCCAAGCCTGTTCTTTTGCTCATGTGGCTTATGGCGCCTGTGGCTTGGCCTACTGCGAAGCTCCTCGACTGGGCGTTGGGCGAGGACCACGGCACCGTTTACAAGAAGAGTGGCCTCAAGACTTTGGTCACCCTGCACAAGTCCCTTGGCGAGGTTGGCGAACGCTTGAACCAGGACGAGGTCACCATCATCAGTGCTGTCTTGGACCTGAAGGACAAGCCCGTCGAGAACGTCATGACCCCAATGGACGATGTCTTTGTCATGGCCGAGGATACTGTATTGGACGAGAAGACCATGGACCAGATTCTTTCGGAGGGGTACTCCCGTATTCCCATCCATGCCACCGGAAAGCCGACCGATTTCGTTGGAATGCTTCTTGTCAAGATTCTCATCACATACGACCCTGAAGATTGTCTGCAGGTCAAGGATTTCCCACTGGCGACGCTTCCCGAGACCCGCCCTGAGACGAGCTGCTTGGACATTGTCAACTTCTTCCAGGAGGGCAAGTCGCATATGGTCCTGGTGTCCGAGTACCCCGGTGCCGACTACGGCGCTATTGGTGTCGTCACCCTTGAAGATGTCATCGAGGAACTTATTGGAGAGTAAGTTTACCACGACTGTACTGCAGGGAGATTACTGACTCGTAACAGGGAAATCATTGACGAATCCGACGTCTACATTGACGTTCACAAGGCTATCCGCCGCATGACCCCCGCCCCGAAGGCCCGAATCACCAAGAGGACAGGCCAGCCGTCCCCTCGACCGATCCCTGAGAACGGTGATCTCATCGAATTCGGAGACGAGCCACAACCTCCCCATGAACGAAATGGTTCCATCAGTGCGCTCAGCGATGCTCCGGAGAACCTCTCCAGCAGCGCGCCCAGAACCACATTCCTCATGAGAAGAAGCTCGGCCGGACCTGACGGGCGCATGACTTCGTCTGCTGTTCCCGTGAAGGCCACCTTTGACGAGGCCAAGCAACACCTCAAGCATCTCGGTCCATCCAACCGCGCGTCGAACCCGAAGAACACCAAGTCTACAACCGTCAAAATCAAGCCCGTTCAGACCGGAGCGCCCTTGTCGCAGATCCACAGCCCGTCCCCCAATCTTCGCCCCGCCTCTATAGCTGGCGAAGTCAGCGAGGAGAGACTGGAGCATGACACGGACGAGCATACCCCCCTTATGCGCCCTAAGCTGACCGGAAAGGGTGGCGTCCATGCTATTCGCAAGAGCTATGGCGGGGCGGGCATGAGTGAGACTCAGGTTAGGCTCTCGAGTGCCGCTCACGACCACGACGCCGAGGGCGCCAAGGCCCCTGAAGGAGTCGACTTGCCCCCAACTGTCCCTGAACATGGCAGCCCAAAGGCCACACGGAGCGCAAGCCCCGAAGCAGCCCGGACGGACCTGACCATCATCGTCTCGCCTGGTCGGGCAAGCAGCGCGACAAGCGTCACTGACGTTATCGATGAAGGATCTGCCACCCCCAAGCGCCGACCCCTTGTTCGAAGTGGTAGCATCAGTGAAAACGTGGTCGAGACTAGTAGTGGAGTGCGGAAAATCATCATCCAGGCCGCCAGCTCCGATTCCGATGAAGCCGGGTCTAGAGGTTCCAAGGGCTCTTCCGGACACCGCTCGCGGGCTACCAGCCAGAGTAACAAGCAGTCTTCTAGCCACGATTCAGAAGGCGAGGAACAGGAGAATGGGGACGGTGCGTCAAGCACGGCGCAGAGCACCAGCAACAATAGCCAGGCAGCAAGTAAGAAGAAGAACAGGAGGAAGAAGAGGAAAAACAAGTCGTAGATTGGGCGTAGTAAGATTGTGTAGGTGTTGGTGCTGTTCCCTGTATGATATCGCATAGTAATCTGAGCGGTTGCGGCGCTCGTTCACCGTTGTTGCTCTTCAAGTCAAATTTTTGGACCACTAATTTCCTGGTAACATGATGAAGTCGATGTGATTGTTTGATTGTATGTTTCTATATTTTTATTTTTATTTGTTTCTCCTATTATCCCCGCTACCTTGAATCCTCCGACCTAAACTCAATCGTACCAGATAGCATTCATTCCAAATCCGGGCTCGGGGATACGCAACCGCGCAACACGGCCCAGGAACTCGTCTTGCCACCGGTAAATCTCGATCCAGCCCTCCTGGTCGTCCGTGATGGCGATCCACTCGTCGCTCCAGTCGCAGGGGCTGACGGCGTTGCTGTGCCCGCCGCTCGTGGGCGTGGGGTTCAGGCAGATCTGCCTCTCGATGTGGCCGCTGTCGTCGAGCTTGAAGGCGGCGATGTAGCCCGTCACGTCGAAGCTGTTTGAGCGGGCCGTGGCGAAGAGGTATTTCCCGCTGTGGGAGAGGGTGCAGACGTCGGAGCGGTACATTTTCGTGGTCGCACCTGGGATACCCGGGGGGATGAGCGGGAAGGAGCGGTGGGTGTAGACGGGGAGGCGGGTGGCCGGGTCGACGACGTACTCGCAGAGGCGGTTGCCTGCCTCCATGAGGGCGTAGAGGTAGCGGCCCGTCGGGTGGATGGCGACCCAGCGGGGGTGGTCGCCTGGGTCCGGGGCGTCGACGGAGCCGACGAGCTCGAGTTCGGGGGAGTCGGGGGAGGTCTTCTTGTGGACCCAGAGCTTGTTGGCGGTGAGGTCGGCGGAGTAGAGGTAGGTTTCTGTGGGGTCGAAGACCATGCCGTGGATGCCCGTGTTGGGGTCGTAGGGGTAGTTTTGGACGTTTGTCTCGAGGGCGCCCGAGGAGGAGACGGAGAAGATGTTGCCGTGGGAGGCGTGCTTGTAGAAGGGGTTGCAGTAGACTGCGTAGGGGGGTTTTTGGGCCGCGAGGAGGAAGATTGCGCGGGTGTTTGTTGTTGAGAGGGCGGCGTTGGCTGGGAGGGACGGTGTTAGTTGAGGAGATGTTCATGAGAGTGACGAGGTAGTCGTGATGTAACACGATAAGGTGACATTGGCCCGCTTGCTATGAGAATGAACTTACGGTCGTGGGTCATGTCGTGAGAGGCCTCGTGGACGATTTCTGAGGGGCTCTTGACTGCGAAGCTTGCCCACTTCTTCATGGCGGCGCCGTAGAGGTTCTTCTTGTCATGCTGTGAAGTACATATGTGTGTAAGCCAGTTTCTTGGATAGAATGCCATTAAGCTCATCCGAACTCGAGCTGATCTGCGGGTAGGCTGATCTGAACTTACGCTGAAAGTCATCCATGATATCGGCTGGTCCTCAGGGATCTCGGTGCGCTTTACGAGCTCGAGGGTGAGCTTCTCGTCGTCGAAAGCGACGGTGAAGATTGCGCCTGGCGGGGTCCAGGTCCCGATCATGAGGTGGTGGACGGGCATCTTTGCGGTTGTTGAGAAGAGCCTAGCGGGGAAGCGTTTGGTTTGGAAGGCCGAGAGGAGACGGAAGGATCGCGAGAGCATGAGCTAGAGGGGATGCCGTCACGAGGAGAGAGAGAAATTGTAGTTCCAAAACGTCTCGGAGAATGTAGGAGCGAGGAAACTATGGCAAGTCGGGTGAGTTTCGCCGAGGTAATGAGGAAGCTCCAGGGATGTCGAGCTCCGATTGGCAAAAACGTCACGATGACTGGGTCAGGGGAATACTCTTTACGAGAAACGTCAAGACAGAATCATGTGAAAGGGGAAGGGGGAGGTGTGGGAAAGATGGGAAGAAAACGAGGTGACGAAAGATTTAAGAAAAAGAGTAGGCAAGTCTGGTGTACCTTACAGCTCCTGCCCCTCGTCTCCGAACCCCGGACAACACGACGAGGGGCATGCAGCAGCAGCACCCGGTGCGTGGAGAGACGGGCCCGCTTTTTGACAGTTCGAGTGTGGGGTCGCCGCAATTTGGAGGGGCTGCTCGGGAGATGTGGCGGTAATTGGGCGGAAGGAACGATTGCTCCCGGCAGAGTATTCTTCCCCCACCTTTGGGCAGTCGATTCAGCCAGCGCTCCGGAGTTGTGATTTCACGGGACATCGAATGATAAGATAGCTTCATCTGCTGGTTCCTGCTTGAGGCTCTGGAAAGAGGTGGATTAGGTAACTATGGCCTCGTATGACACCAATGGGGATCATGATGCTCAGTCGTTGTCAAGCGACACTCGATGAGTGGTCGTGCGCCAAGTATTAGGGTGCTCCGTGCTCCGCGACGACTGCCGGGCCACGATGCCGAAAGACCGGGGAGAGGAGTCCAGAGTTGCCAGCCGGACACCGGCCGGGGGGACACGAGAACCTCGGGAGCATCTTGACAAGGCCCACGCGGCAAACGAAAGTCATAAATGCGATTGACCAATCAGTTCATCCGGAATACCCGAACAGAGGGGCGTTTCTCGTTTGTGTTAGTCAAGCAAGTCAAGTTTCCGGGGGCTGGCTAGTACGGCACAAGCGACAGGTCTATTTCCACGTCTTACTTCGTCCATCAATATGTATCTATCTTGATTGGCTGTGAAAAGAAGGGAGGTGCGGCAAGGGATCAAAACCTACAATAATATAGGCCGAGGCTCGAATCAGGCTGTGGCTATAGACCATGACTTCCGTCGCAAAGCGACGACTCTTATGGAGAGCAATAGTCATTTACAGAATTCCGGCGTCAACAGAATGGTTAAAAGATACGGACTGACTTTTCGGAATGCTTGACTGTACAAATAAATCTGCCATGTGCGTATCAAGCCTGCTATGGTCTACTCGTCGAGACCCTGTTCGTCATCCCGAGTCCCCTTTCTGAATCTACATCTGAGAGAGCATTGGCACTTCTAGGTGAGGTTTCGTATCTGCTCAGTACGTCCTGGCCGTCGCGCGTGCTTACACCGTCTTTGACGTGAGATACCCATGCCCTTGCCTTCGTTTCAATCTTTGTCTCAAGCTGTTGTTGCCTCTGGTCAGCTCTGGCTGTACGCTTACACTGAGGTGGAGATCATAATTCTACTAACCTCAGTAAACTTGAACAGAAGCCACACAACAGAGGTCAGAAGCGAAGTGACTGCGGCGAAAGGGACATAAGTCCACCAAGCAGGCTTTTTGCCGTCCAAGATGTCTACGTTCATCCCAAATAAGGTCTGCATGATGGTCAGCATTCATGGGCAGCAGAGAAGTTTTGAGTCTTACTCCTATGAATGTTAGTGGTAAGAAGATGAACTAGTCAAGGTGTTGATTAGTATGTAGAGCTATACGTTAGGGAGGTGGTGTTACCGTGATCCAGCTCAATCGCTTCATGCTCGTCGACGAGTGCACAGACTGTCGCGCTTCTTTAATAGATACGAGATTGCACTCCTTTGACCTGGTAAGTGGCATGTTCAACACTGGCAACACCGTCTATACCCACCAGCTGAATGAGATCTCTCGAGTTCTCGTCCAACTCACCGAGCTTCTTTCCAACCGCGGCAGCCAGCTGGTCTATCGCCTCTGTGAGTTCCTCGAGATCGCCGGTCTCGTTGTGCTGTAAGCAGTACTTCCTCGCAAAATTCCGAATGCTGGAAGCGACCTTGGAGAGGTTATGACGATGGCTGAGCCACCTTTGTCCATTCTCAAGGAGGTGATCCAGGAGCGCCGGGTCAGATCCCTTGGATTCAATGATTCTCTTGCGAAGCTGCCGTGTTGCAATGCGTCAGTGAACCTCTCGAAAGTCAATGATGCTGGGGTAAAGGAGATACGCACATGGAGATCCACGAGATTCGCATCGCAGTAAGCAAGCCATGTATGTTTGACATGGATAAGAAAGTGCCTCAGAAAGACCGCGCCATTATCCGGAAGCCAAATGTGTGGCATGGTGGTGAGGTGAGCTTTTGTGTGCCATTGATGGGTTTGCTCATCGCGGAAGACATCCCAGCACAGCACTAATTGTTCACAAGGCAGAGCTTCGTCATTATTGGGAGAGTTCCACATGAATGCCTCAATGTAGTAGGTGATGTGACTCCTGTTGTCTTCTTGTGAGATGATCTTGAGATTCAGTTCCTCAATCTGAAGATTGTCTGTCAAACGACGAAGCTGAGGTGAAAATGGGGCGTCGCCGAGAATCTGTTGTTGCCTACAAAAGTGGTAAGCGTTACAGTCAGCGGCCACGGTGAATGGAGACGCTTACAATGAGAATCTCTCGGTCGGCCCCCAATCCTCGAACGAGCGTCTGTCTCCTGGCTTTAGCCGTAGAACTGTGGTCTTGTCATCTCGAAAGATCTCTAGAGTCTGGCTGTCCTGCCACCCGTGCGCCCTGCGGAACTTGGCCGTATTCACGAAATCAGTATACCCTCCTTTTCCAATGAGGAGGTTGATTATGTTGCTATTGCGATTATTGAGTGCTATTGCAAGCGGTGTTTCGCCTCCCATGTTCTGCACGTTGACGTTGGCAGCAGCGGACAAGAGATCTTCAACTATGTTTCCATAGCTCCGGCGTACGGCGTGGTGCAGCGGGGTATCCAGCGAGGCATCGGCGATATTCACATTGTACTTGCCATCGAGCAAGACTTTGATTAGATCCCTCTCTTTGGCCACGACAAGCAGTGAGAGTGTGGCCGTGTCACTTCGGCAAAACAGTCGGACTACCTTATCCTGTCCATAATGCGCGGCCCACCAAAGTGGCGTCCGACCTTGCGTGTCGACAGAGCTCAGCGGTGCAGTTCCCTCGCTGAGGAGCTCTTCAGCAGCAGTTCGTATCCCGAAATAAGCTGCTAGGTGTAGTCCCGTGACGTTCTTAGGGACGCGCTGCGTATACCCGGGTGTCTTTGTTGAGGATTGTTCGATGAGAATGGCCTGGCTTGACATTACGACGTTGGCACGGTTGTCTAGAAACCTCATAGCGGCTGCAACGGGCTCCGAACATGTCTGCGTATGGAACCCCCAGTGACAAGCAGCGTAGAGGAAGAATGGGTTGTGGCTTAACCTCTCTTCAAAGTCCTCGTCCGACTTGCAGAACCCATCGTCGGAGGATATCCTCGACAGCTGCCTCAGACAATAGCTGACGATGTTGTCATGAATCTTGGGAGCCCGGTCGCTTCTCTCGTGCCAAAAGTAGTCTTTGACAGCGCAGTGGAAAAAGGATATTGACTGTCCTCCCTGCTCTCCCTTGATTGTTACAATGCCGTGCAATGCAGACGCGATCTTCTCTGGCGTCGGAGGCACACGCAGGTACTCTGAGACGTCCGCTACCAGAGCATGCTGAAGCTCGAGCATTGTGAGTGCTCGGTTAGAGAAAGTAAGCCAGTCGATGACGTGCGAAGCGAGACCAGACTGAAAATGATCTGAACGCGCTTCAATTAGTTCGCCGAAGACGTGGTTCAGATGCCGACGTTCTTGAGTCCAATGTCTCAAGAATCGTTGGAACTCGAACTTCGTGTGCATCGGCGAAAGTTCCTCGACGATACGACTCGCGACATGAAATCTGGAATGACTTAGCGACGCAGTAATTTTCAGGACTGGTGAACTGTGACTTACATCCCCTCAGTTGCTCTCAAAATAATTTCGTAAAACTCGATGTGCTCTGGGATCGAGTACGACGCTGGTGGCTTCACTTGAGAAGTGATATACTCCTTCAGGTCCGTTGTGTCCGAAACTGGCATTGGTAGGGTCGTAATTGAACTGTCTTCGTTTGTCAGAGACACGTCAAACGTTGAAGTGGCGAAAATCTTGATGTCGATCTGAGCACGAAGGCGACTGAAGAAGGACTGAAGGCTGCGAGAAACTTCAATGTCAAGTCTATCAAGTCCATCCCAGACGAGTGAGATTCTTGCCCTCTCGGTGTCATTTTTGGTGCTCCGGTGACACAGCAACGATTCAAGAGCCGTTTGACCATTGCTGTTCCCGACGTTGTCGTCTTTCCTCGGCCCCGAGAGCTTCGACAACAATTCCACATCTGTGCCGTAATCGATACGCTCGAGTAATTGTTGGATCAGACATCCCGTGAGGAAATCCATTTGCTGAGAATGGTTCTCGCAAAATAAGAAGAGCACTAGACAATCTGATGTCTTCAACTCGTCGATTACCGCGGCAGCTAGAATCGACTTGCCCACCCCAGGCGGACCGATACAGAAGAGCGTGTTATTGCTCTCATTCTCCCACTGACGGTATATTTCCCTGTCAAAAACCCAGCTACATGTTTGGGGATGACGAAGTGCTAGGTTCTTTCTATGGATTTCTTTCATGTGCTTGGCAGGAGGCAACGTCTTTTGAAAGGCATCCCATGATTGAAGCTCCATCTAAGCTGTGGCAGGTAATTTGTCGGAGATCACTCAACTCAAGAGGTAACAAGTATGGTGTAAGTTGCAGGTGGGTTTGAGGGTGAAAAAAAGGGTGGAATTGAGGATGAAAAGCCGGGGGCGGAGACAAGAGTGAAGATGAGGGAGAGGAGAACGAAGATGAGGGTGAATATGAGTATGAGAGTATTGATGAAAGTGACAATGAAAGTGATGGGAGTGAGCGCCTGACCAGAATCATCAAAATTACTTGCTTCAAACGAGGCGGCAGTGAGGCAAGGCGGTTCTGCATATTCAGCCTGCGCCTGGTCATGATCCGTAACAAAAGTGCAACTTCAGCTTGGAGACGGATGCTGCGCCTGAGGGAAGATGGCGCGGAAAGTTCTATTGGGTAGTGACAACCAACTTCAACCTAAACCAAAAAGCCTATGGGGAGACATACAGTCACTTACCGCCAATGAGGTGACAGCAGGGCAAGTGCCGATTACTGCTGACCCTACTATTGATGCAGCCAGAATAGGGTGTGGTTGGCGGTATGATCCTACAGCCTTACTCTTTTCTACGGCTTGATGTTAACTCGTGCGGTCAGTCTTATAAATGCCAGGTGAGGCAGTCTGGTTGCTCGGAAATATGATAAGTGATATGACTGACTAAAGCATGTCTGGTCTTGTTCATCACTTGCGTGGCTGTCTTCGCTGATATGATGTACCAAAAGCCATTGACGTCAATTCCATGGTCATCAGCAGCAGCTCCAGCGCACCGCTTGAGAAAGAATGGCACATACTCCGCACTCCATAATCGCTGCCTTCTGAGAAGAATGTTCCATGTAAAATTCTAATGGAAAGAGGGGTATCTTGATACGTTACAAATACAATGCCGAGTTGGGATATACGCTCATCTAACATTTCCTCAATTCCCTCCTACCGGCCCTAGTGTGCCACACCCGATGACCGCTCATACAACCCCTTGAACGAAGACTCGCTTCCCAGAAGCTGACGAGGCTCCCCATACTCAACAACTACTCCTGAGTCGACAATCGCAACTCGGTCAAAGTCCAGTATCGACTCAAGTTTATGTGCAATAGCGATGATGGTCCAATCTCTGAACCACGAACGCAGCACCTCGTCGATGATTCTACTAGACTCATCGTCCAAGCTGTTCGCATAGAAAGTCAGCTTCCTTGGTCCACTCAGGCAGGATAGGTGCCAACTTGGAAAAACAATTGCGAAAGGGAAACAAAGAGTAAACTCACCTGCTCGTAATCTCGTCCAAAACAAGCACCCTCCCCTTCCTCAACATAGCCCTCGCAAACACCAACAACTGCGCCTCACCCTGCGAGAAGAACTTATCGTCAATCACGGCATCCAGACCACCGCGCTCCTCGACTTTCTCCCAGAGCTGCACCCTTCTCAAGACCGCTGTGATATCCTCGTCCGACGCTGTCTGGCCGGGGTCGAGATTCAACCGCACAGTGCCGTCGAAGATATAGGACTCCTGCGGGACCGCGACGATCTTGGAACGGACGTATTCGTTGGGCAGCGTGGCGATGTCGACGTTGTCGATGGTGATTGCGCCCGAGTCTAGGTCCATCATGCGGAGGAGGCAGAGGATGAGGGAGCTTTTGCCGCTGGAGGGAGTGTTAGATGTCTTTGTGCTGGTAAGGTTGGGGTTAGGGGATTACTTGCCTGCCTGTCCGGCCGCAGATTGCAACCTTTTGACCTGGTTTGATGGAGATGTTGACATCGTTCAGTACCGTACCAGATGATCTATTACAACGTCAGCTTTACACTCTCAAGGTCCGGTTTAATGGTTCTATAAACTTACGCGTAGGACGCCGTCACTTTCCGAAGTTCAACGGCTCCTTGACTTGGCCACTCTCCTTCTGGCTCCGCAAGATTCACCCGAGAGTCGTCCTCAGACGCCGTAGTCAAAGAAAAGTTCCTCACCCTCGCAACCGCGCCAAGCGAAACCTCCAACATGACCCACGACGTGATAATCGCCTTCACGCACCCACTAAACGCCAACACATTTGTCAACGCAACACCAATGAATCCGGGCCCAATTTGTTCGCGCAGCGTCGTGACCAATACAATGAGGACAACGGCGATGACGGCAATCACCATGTCGACCGAAAACGTTAGCCAGCTTTGTAGGCATGCAAGGAGGTACTTGGGTCGCTGTGAGTCGTCGAGCCGGCGGAGGTTGACCTTTTCAAAGTTGTCTTCCCAGCGGAAGGCTCTGATTGTCGCTAGGCCTTCGAGGGTTTCGATGAGTTGGGAGTAGAGGGGTGCTTTGTGCTCGATGTCGAGGAGACGCATTTGTCGCGAGGTGCGGAGGTAGAAGTGCTGGATGGCGTAGAAGGTTGGGATGAGGAAGGGGAGGATGGCGGCCATGTAGCGTGAGGAGACGGATATGACTATGAAGCGGGCCACGCCGAATGCGACGCCTAGGATTGGAAGGTTGGTAGGGCTTCGGTTTCGTCAGAGATGGAGAGAGTCTTGCGTACCTACGGCCAAGCCTAGTGCTGCGGCTGGCAGCTCCATGTCGATGAGCTGGAGATCTTGACTGAATCTGTTGACTGTGATGCCGCTATCCACGGAACTGTGAAATGCCATGGGCGCACTATTCTCGTCAGTATTAAGACCGAGGAAAAAGTCGGTTGTGTGCCCTACCGAGACGTGGTGTCCAGCAGAACTCCGTGGAAATAGACTCCCGACTTGTTGATGATGACAATGAAAAGTTGCCTAGAATGTTTCGTTACCAACGGCTCTGGTTAATACTGTGATGGTGCAAGTACTTACCACATCCCAAAGAGAACCGAACCCACGGACCCGACTCCAAGAGCCGCGTAGACACCAAGCCACTTGCCCAGATCTTGGTTCGGTCTCTGCTCATTGGACTCTGCCCACCACTTGAGCCAGATATCTGACGATGAATTTGTTAGTCTGATGATTTCCACGTCAATAGACCCTTGGGGGAGAGTACCGGGAAACGAGTCGCAAAAGGCAAAGACAATCATGGCGCCAGCAAATGTCGATAGGCTGAACCACCCAGCTGCCCTGGCATAAAAGCTATACATCCCCCAGTCGCCGAGTTGACGAGCGGAATCTGCTTGGTCTTCGAGTAGGCCGAGGACCGTGGCTGGTGGTTTATCGTTTGTTATTGTTATCGGTGGCACCTTTACGCTCTCGCTATCGCTTGTTCCGGCGCGTTTGCTTGAGGAGGATGGTTGTCGGTCGACTTTCGTGACCGCCTCGTTGTCTATGATCCGACCCTCGTCGTTGAGAAGTACAGTGTCGTCGGCAAATGGCACACGGCGGGCTGTCAGAGGGTCGTTAGTACTAAGCCATGCAAGGAGTAAAGGAGGTCGTACAATCAGATGATGCTAAAACGACAGTCGTATCCGTATGGCGTAGTAAGCCACGGGTACTGAAGAGGTTATTGAACACGATGTCTTCGGTGCTAGAGTCTAGGCCGCTGAAAACGTCGTCAAGCACCAACAACTCTTGTCTTGCGTACAAAGCGCGGGCAATGGCCTGCCATAATGTTAGCTTCACTCGTCTCCCCAACTCCGAAACAAGCTCAATGACAGACCAGACGATGCTTCTGACCACCGCTCGTAGAAATTCCCTTCGTACCCGCCACGGTACTGTCTCCATTCGGCCAGCTAGCGATATCTTGCTCCAAAGCACATGCCTTGATGGCTGTGTGGTACCAGGCCGAATCGAACGCGGCGTGACCGGTGATGATGTTACGCACACTGTCGTTCGGTATCCACGCGGTTTGGCCGCAGTACGTGACGCCAGAGAAGTTGGTGGAAATGGTGCCCTTGAAGGACGATGACTCGCCAAGTAAACACTTTAGAAGCGTCGACTTGCCGCAGCCAACGGGGCCGAGCACCAAGGTGAAAGCTCGTCGCCGGACGTTCCAGTTGTCGATGTCGATAACAGGCTTGGAATCGTCTAACCAAGAGAATGTTCCCTTTACAGAGACGATGACACTGAGGGGCAAATCGGCGACTGGCAACTCACTTTCATGCATGTCGGACAGCTCGACGTCTGGGCCTAGACCAGCAGCTTTTGGGGACTCTGTCACGGATTTCCCAGCCCCGGCGATTTTGACACCCTCGCTAGCGAGTCTGGCGTCAACTCTTTCCTTGCCGTTCAAAAAGTCTTGGATTCTCTGGAAAGAAGCCATGGCTGAAGCCAGGAGCGGAAGTCCCATGACGATGCCGACTAATGGCTGGTTCACCAGTATCAATAAAGAGTACGCTGTGAACGCCTTTTGGATCGTCAAAGTATCGCCGGTTCGAGCCGCCGTTGCAACGAATGTGCTGAAGGTGAGTATTGGAGACCAGATCGGCGTGCAAATCACTTGAAAGGAACAGTCTCAGCTTACATGTCACGAAGAGGCAACGCAGGAAAAAAAGCTTACAAAACATCATGGAGATGCCCAACAATACCCTGAATCTCTTGGAAACCTTGAGCTCTACGGTTCGAAGCTTTTGAATCACCGAAAAGGCAACATCATTGAGGCCAGAGATCTTGAGCCATTTGATGTTCCCCAGCGTCTTGGAGGTCGTTGAGACGCGATCTTGCGAGGCTTTGATCCATTCCGCGGATGCTTTGCCTGTAGGAACAGCGAGGAAAGCTGTGGCAAGTAGGACAACTGGCGATATGCATCAGTTTCTGAGGTTCTCTCAGCCGGCGAAGCTAATATGGTATCCTACCGAAAACAAGGGCAACGGGCATGGCACAGGCAGCTCCAAGCTGCCTGTAAATCAGGTAAATCCCGATTCCAATTTCGAGAAGTCCACTCCAGACCTCGTGAAGCTGCATGATACCCTGGCTGATGGTCTCGCTATCGGTTCCAACTAAAGTCAGAGCCGCCGAAGGGCTGACGTTGGGCGACGTCAAATCCAGCCTCAACACTTTCCGATAGACAAGTGCCGTCGTGCTGCCCCTCGTCATGGAGGCCGCACGTTGATTGCGCCAGTCATACTGGCCCGTCGAGACCTACGACATGATATCTCAGCGTTCCGCACTTTGAGTAGTTCTAGAACGCCCTCTTGACCGAGAGCGAAGATGACGAAACGCAGAACCCACAGCAATACCGGTGTAAACGATCACGTACGCCCCTATCAACCCAAAACCGTGATTATTGTAGGGCTGCTGTTGCGGCTGACTGGCAAGGCGAATCGCCTCGTCAATCAGAAACGGCTGGGCGTAGTTGAAGGCGATCTGAAAGAGTTTCGGGACGATGGCCGCGGCAAGAGGGCTGGCAAAGGCGCGGAGCCAGGTGCTGAACAAAGCGCCGGGGACCGTCTTGTCGGGGACTTTTTTTGTGTAGAAATCAGATATATTAGTCCGCGGAACATTTCGTGTTTTAGTTTGGGGGCCGAAAATAGATTACCTTGGTCCCACGCGCCGGCGAGTTTTCTGTAGAGCGGGTCTGAGGCTAGCTTCGGGTCCAGTGGATAGAGGTCATCTAGTTGAAGGATGTTTCTGTATCCGTTGATAAAGAGTGACGTCAACCAGAAGAAGACTGATCTGTTGAAAGTGCCGCTGGTGACCTCCTTGGAGTATCCTTTGTGTTCTGGAACTAGGATCCTGCGCTTCTCTGTTGATTCTAGAAGGATCATGACAGCTCTGACAGCCAGAGTACAGGTGAAGATGGCGGGTATGGTCTGATGGGGCCCCAGCATCCACAAAGTTCGGGCACGAGCAGTGTCAAACAGAATTGACAGAAACAAGTAAACTGACAGGACGAATGACGGCCTTACGGACCGTTGATGGGCGAGCCATGATAACAGACTCAATCCTATCGAGGCAATTAGACTAAGGATGGCGGTGGGAATGGTCGCGCGCGTATGGGTGATGGTTGTCGACGGTGTAGTGATCCAGAGGATCAGAAGAGCGAAGTTTAGAGCAGCCAGAGAAATCGATGCAGACTTTCGAGATCAGCCATTGTGGTAGGAAGCAGTTTGCCAGGACTAACAGCTTTGAGCCAGCGCAGGGTGCTGGGCACAACTTTGACATCGGACCTTGCCAGGCGTAAGGCACATGTGGGGAGCAACAGCAGGAGGAGAGATTGCAGGGGAACAGCTAGTATGGCCTCCTCGAAGAAAAGTGTAAAGTCGAATCCGCCCCGGCACAATTCTCCGGCCCACGGACCGAGAGAGTTGTCAAGGCCGGGAGAACAAGCCGGCTGCGGGACCCACATGGTGCTAGCGGGCACCGGGGGACTCTCGTGTCGCTGATGGTGTTTCAAGACCAAGGGAGTGAGGCAATTTAATCAAAGTGGGATTTCAAACAAAACATGAGCCGAATGTAACGCTTTGTGACTTCGTTTGCTAGCAATAGCGTCAAAATGAGGTGCCAAACTGAAGAGAACAATTCCAAAACAGAGTTGCAGTACGCCCAAACTTATTGCACGTCAAGACAAAAGGAAATGAATGGAAATAGTATGAGATTGACTGGGAAAAGGACAGAACAGAATGGAAGCGACGGGCCTGCAGTCACTGCACCACACGCCGCAATCCTCCGTAAATTCCCAGACTCGAGGTAAGACGGTAAGAGCCTTAGGCAGAGAGGGCCAAGTTTGGTGGTGTTGATGTGGAGTTGCCAATCAAATCAAGGTGTGCCTGTCTCGGGGTGCGGCATAGCGGCAGCTAGACACAGCCACCCCGTGAATTGCCCAAAGCGGAACCGGTCTCATCTTGGACTGATGGACCAGATGACAGTCGACGTCAACCACGATGGGGGATTGAATGTCCGATGTAAGAAAGGGACGAAAACCGATCGGCTCGAAGCAGCATCGCCGAGCAGTCAGGCAGGATTTTGGTGCTAGTCAAGGAAGTTGCATCGGACGACTCGGGCCCCGTGCATCGACACAATACGGCGTGTTGGTCTGACCAGGTACTCCGTAGCCTGTAGGTCAGGTGTGAGCGTCTGAGATGAATGAATGCATCAGCACTGACAGAAAAGACAGGAAACCTGGAGTCGGGGGCCGATGGACGCATCCAGTCTGACCGTGGAACCGTCCAAGTTAGAGGTTCATGTTGATGAGATGACTTTCTCCAGACTTGAGATGATTGATGTATGTGGCGGGTGTCATGTAAGGCGAGGCGTGTAGAAGGTTGAAAAGCTGTCTACTGTGCCATTGGAGCCTTGGGCAGCCTCAGGGGAAGACGGCTGTAGGTAATTGACTCGTCCGGGAGCGATAACGACATCTGACCACCACCATCACGTCGTCTGAAGTTGGTTGTGTTCATCTTTGCTAAATACAGAACTGTACGATTCGAAGCAAAACAGGCGTGTGCAGAGGATAGAGTCATTTGAAATCCCAAGTTTGGGACAGCAAGGAACCTTATGGTACCAGCCATGCGGTGTCCCACGTGTTGAAGAGCCGCAGTGGAAGGGAAGACCCAACCACATCTGAAATGGGGATTCGTCACCTCCCACGTGATTTGGACTGTGCTTCAGCCTCTGTTGATGCACAAGGAAGGCACGTCCACGAAGTACCTTACCTATCTTACTACTGTGTAAAGATAAGGCAGGTATGAAGGTAACCTGATGATGGAAGGAAGCAAGAGACAGAAAAGGGGAGAGAAAGAGCAAGTTCGAGGAGGACAGCCACGTGATTGCGATGGGTCTTGCCAAGACGGGAGTCCAATGGGGCCTTCCTTCTGCTCGGGTCGAGTCTGTGTCGACCACATCGCATGACAGGGCAGTCACGACGGGACTCACAGACTGCTGCTGCCATGTTGGGAACTTGGGGCGAATACTTGCTGGGAACTTGGAGGGCTGGAAGACAACCCGGGACCCAATGGAAAAGACGGGTCATGGAAGAGAAATTGGGAAGGAGGGACCCCCCTTCAGTCAAAGTGATGCGAACCGTCCGTCTCCTCTTGAATTCTCGTGGGGAAAGCAATGCACCGGCATCATTGACCAAGCTCCTCTCTCCTGTGTCTGATTTTCCTCGCTCGCCGATCACTGCTCTGCTCTCCCGCCTCCTTTCTCCATGATTTCCCAAACAGGATCGCAGCACATCCGTTCATCCCCTGATTCCCCTCGCCAAAATGCTTGGCCTCTACTGTAATTCTGGAATACTGGAGCCGCCCCGGTGATCTCCAGACTCCAGAAGTTGCCTGAGGTCTGATTCTGATTCTGACTCTGACTCTGACCAAAGCCAAGACTCCAAGATTAGGTCCAAGACCACTAACTACAAGCCAGGCCTGGAAAAACTAAAAGAAACCAAGAGATTTCTGATACTCGCAACCAAGGCCGGAAGCATCGCCAACACCGAGCGTCTCTCTTGGTATTTCTTAATTCTGGCCTGTTATTCCCACCTCAACAAGAACGCCATGCTGCTGTGGTCTTGGCCAGTGTTGCGCGACGATCATCGCCCGACTTTGTCAATCTCCTCGAGACAGAAGTCCTTGGCAATTCGATGCACCAGTTGAAACACCGTCCCTTCTCTCGACTTCGATCCCTCAACCCTCGAGCCATGTCGACCAGGGTGCGGAGACTCTCAACGTTGCCTTGTGTTCTAGCCCTCGGCATTTATTGTGTGAACTGTGAAGGGATGGGAACGGACGGCATGGAATGGGACGGAATGGCGCAGCAACCGCAACCCGCGGCACCGCTTCCAAACAAGCATCTCTCCAGTCGAGATCCCCCAATTTCTAAAGGCCTAAGCAGACACTGCAAATCAGACAGCCTTTAGGAACAGTAGTGCGGCGAATGACGGAAGAAGGAGAGCGATGTAACGGTATCGACCAGGGTCAAGCTTCAACCCTTCAACGCTTGATTGCGGCTCACAAATCAAGCTCGTGGGGACTCGGAGCGTGTCTTGGTTGCTATACGCTACTTCGTACTGGCAGTGTACTATTACGGCCATCGTAACCGGTGCCCTAGCAGAGATCCAACAGGTCTTTGCAAATCCTGCCATTCAGGCCACTTTTTGCTTCTGCAACGCCTAGGGGGCCGGTTCTGATTCACGAGAGACTCCCCTGCTTGTCAAGAAACGGCCCAGGGTGCATCGTTGCACTTCTGAAATTTAGACTTCATCGCTTCGCGCATGCCCATCCTTCAAACGCCATCCTGGCATTTCACTCTTCAAATGGGCGGCATCCCACTCGTCACCAGCGTCTTGGGATGGAGACAGTCGCGCGCAGAGGGGAAGGAAGACTCTTGTTGGGAAGCGAGAGGCGTTCGCGATTTTGGCCAAGCGCCCTTTTGGGCGGTGTTTCATCCCAGGTTTGACAACCTGTCCTCCGATCAAACCCTTCAACCCCCATGGCTGTTCCACTAACCGCAAGGTACGCGACCTTGGGAATGCCACCACCGCACAAGCATTAACAACACATGCCAGCCAGGCAGGACGGACACTAGTTCCCACGTTCTGTGTGTGCAGAGTACGGGATGATGGCTGGATGCAGCCTATTACCAGGTCTAGCTACCGTCAAGCAGCCACCACCGTTGGGGAGCCGTTCCACCTCCGCAAGCCTCAGTTCTGGAGAGGTACATACAAGAATCCGCCGCGGCGGGGCCGTTCTGAATCACCAACCGTCTGATCAACAGTCGCCCTCCATGGCCACCACTGGCACCCTCAACCGCAAACGCATGGTAGCGAGGCCCATCATCAATCGGCTACAGACACCTTTTCTGCTCTCTTTTTATTTTGGTACCTCGTCTCCGCTTTCCCCGGCTCACGGCTGCTCCGGGGTTTGGCGCGACATGGCACCGTCGTGATGCTTGGCACACACCTCTTCCCATTCGCCATAACGTCTCTTTCTCAAACTGAGGACCCGACTCCCCTACTCCACCAAACTGCACTGCCCTCGCGATGGATCACAGTCTGTGACATGGCTGACATGGTGACATTGGGCAAAGATAGCGTTCACCTCATTTGTTTGACAAGACGTCTCAATTCCTTGGCACTGTGACCTCATGGGTGCAATCTGTGCCTGCTCTACCTGCGGCATGATATTCCGAGGGATCTGGATCCGAGTGAGATTCCCAGGAAGCTTATACTCTATATCAACCCAGCCCGATCTGGCCTTGATTTTGGTTTCTCTTCTCTCGACACTTTCAAGTCTTCAACACAACAACATTTCTGGTTCAGTTCCTTCTCTTTGGCTGGTCCAGTCTTTCCTTGAGTGCCTTTCTCATTTCTTCCATTCTCACATTCCATTCTCTCCAGGTTCTGTGAACCCTTTTCAGTTGTAAATTATACCATCAACTTTTTCTCCATCTCTTTGACTAGAGACATTCAGCACTCCTTCAAAATGAAGAGCTCTATCCTCCTTTCCATTGCGGCCATCGCCGCCCAGGTCATCGCCCTCCCTACCCAGGAGGACCGATCCGTGGCTCTGCCCGTCCGAGACCTGAACTTCCCGGCTCAAGTTGATGTCAGGCCTGTTCTGCGCCGCGCCAAGGGCGAGCAAGGTATGTCAAAGAAACTCGCACATCAGCGTCCGGAACTCATCTAACTTTCAACGCCAGCCGGTGACAACGCCGACGTCCAGCAGGAGGGCGAGAACGCAGGCGAGAACGGAGTCGCCACCAAGAAGGCCGCCAAGGACGCCGCTGCTGCCGGAGGAGCCGGTGCCGCTGCCGGTGGTGCCACGGCCGGAGGAGCCACAGCCGGCGGTGCCGCCAACAACGGAACTGCCAACGCCGGAGGCAAGAAGAAGGGCAAGAAGGGCAAGAAGAACGCACAGGCCAAGGCCGCGGGCAAGAAGAACAACGCTGCCGCCGGTGCTGCCGGAGCCAAGAAGAACAAGGCCAAGAAGAACAACGGTGGCGCTGCCAACAACGGAACTGCCAACGCCGCGGACGGCGCTGCGGCTGGCGGAAAGAAGGCCAAGGCTGCAAAGGGTAACGCCGCTGCCAAGAAGAACAACGGAGCCGACAACGCAGCTGGCGGCGCGGCTGCTGGTGGTGCCGCCGGTGGTGCTGCGAACAACGGAACCGCGAACGCTGGTGGCAAGAAGAAGAACGGCAAGAACGGCAAGAAGAACAACGCTGCTGGAGGCGCCGCTGCGAAGAACAACCAGGCAGCCGACGGCAACAACATCCTCTCTTCCATCCTCGAGAGCGTAAGTAGCCCCGGAGACGCATGCCATTGAACATTAGCTAACATTCACTTGCAGATTGGTGGAGGCGCTGCAGGCGGAAACGCTGCCAACGGTGGTGCCAACAAGGCCCAGGCTGACCCTCTCGCCCTTCTCAGCGGTCTTCTCGGACGTGACGAGGAGTCAGCCGACCTGGAACAGCGCGAAGAGCATGACCTGGCTGAGCGTGACGACCACGAGCTTGTCCAGCGCGACGAGGAGGAAGCCGATCTGGAGTAAGCGGGAGTGGACGCTCGAGTGTTGAGCGGCTCCAGATGCCGGGGCCCCAGGGCAACAAGCCGAGTCGGAGCCTGGGACGGTTCCCGGCGGTCCCAGCGATCACCGGAGCGGTCTTTGACGGGCTCGACCGGTGGCAAGTCTGAAGCAAAGGCAGCTACGCTGGTAGAGCTGTTTCCGAGTGTGTATGTCTCGAGGTCGGAAAAGAAATGAATTTTTTGTTGGTGCATACATTTTGCTAGCCTGATCTCGCTTGAGATATCAGTAGGCAGCTGTTCATGTCGTCGCCAAGGGTTTTCTGAGGCATCTACGGGAAACTTCACTCAACGGCCAAAGGGTCCTTGGGATTTGTACAACTCTTTGTAATGTTCTGGGACAGTTTTCATTTGTAGGAAATTGAGTGAAGGTGTGCACCGCAGTTTTTAGGCCAGATCCCCATCTTTGAAAAAGATTAGTTGTGATACCATGATAGTGAGAATTCGACCAAAGATTCTTCAAATGAGTATTATGAGGTGTGGTGCATCATAGATTGTTGATTGCATGTTCATGAATCCGAGTTCAAGATGCTACGCAAAGAATGTGAGGGCAGGTACTCAGCCGTGAGGGAGGGAGCTGAAGGGGCCCAGCGGAGTCGAGTCAAGCTTAGAATCTTGGTAGCGGTAATAGACAGGGGCACATCCAGGGACGACCGGGGTTGGAGCTCCGGGGCCGGCGGTCGGTCATCGACACGTGAGACAGATGATTGGCAGGCGATAAGGCGCAGATTAGCGGCCCCTCAACGACTCCCTGTCCATCTTTTTAGAGTAGGTAATTGACTTTTGCTCCCTACTCTTAGCCTCCTCCTCCACCTTGCCAGCAACGGCTCTCGACCAACAACAGCAAGACACCACGCGTCCACCCAGGTCTTGGCCTCGAGAGCAGACTTGTCCTAGGAGGGGAGTTGGTCCGGCTTGTCTTGCAGTTTGTTCGGCTCTTCGGATCACCTTGGTTGCTACTCCTATCATGGTTGTAGTGTTGGAAATGACACGCTGATTGTGTATCCAGTCTCTCTCATTGCCTATCTCTGCACTCCGTATGGATATATCGTATAGATATGACCCAGGGTCAGAAGCAAAGTTGCTTTCCAACGTTCCGCCGCTCGCCTTTCCCCCACACACCCGTCTCTCAATTCAACCTTTTTTGATATGCTTAGGCCGGGTTGTTCCCCACTGAACTAGACACCAGCTAGGCCACTCTCCCGCCCTCGCAGGAAGCCTTCACCTTCCCGATTGAGCCATGGCCAACCAATACAGCGCCGCGATGGGGAGGTTGAAGTCAATCAAGGCTAATGCGGGGCTCATCTAATGTCTCTGCCGGTGCCGTTGGCCCAGGTTTCTCATGACAACCTGACAAGAACGTGCCAGGCACGCATCGCTCTAAGAGGTCAATTGATACGACAGGACCCCTGCTCTCCGCTCTCCGCTCGACGGGAAAGATCATTGTCTTGCCGTTTCCCTCCAGTGAGGATGTCCCGCTGGCCTTACAGGCTACAAGTTAAGAGATATCGAGTGCGTAATATCGGAGCTGGCCGCGCCCTCCTCTCTCTCGTTGTCCAATCTTATCGCGTACATAGACTCTTGGAGCGCATCCGACGCGGGTTGCTCACATGCAAAGCAGGCAGCTCCCGCGATGCAAGGGCGGAATGGATCGCTGGATCCCGGGGGACCCAGCGAAGCGATATGGTGCAGCTTTCTTGGCACTTTGCGACTCTCTCGGCTCGATACGACCCTGACCAGGGGAAACGGGACCGCAATCATGGGCTGAAGAGGTTCAGCTCTGTCCTACATATAGTGGTGACTTGCCCCGCGACGGGAGTAAACATGGACGATCCCTCTCTTGCTCTTGTGTGCTCAGGACGTTGCGATTCCAGAGAGAAGAGTGAATAGCTTCCGTAGTCGTTTGTTCTCGTTTTGACGCGGTGTACACTGTCAAGATGAAGGTCACCTCCCTCTTCCTCTCCGCCGCCGGCGCCGCCTCGGCCTTGACCATTGCCGAGATCAACGGCAACAAGTTCCTCTCCCCGTACAAGGACCAGTCCGTGACCAATGTCACCGGTCTTGTTCTCGCAAAGGGACCTGCCGGAATCTGGATCCGCTCGACGACGCCCGATGACGACGCTGCCACCTCCGAGGCGCTCTACGTCTACGGCAGCACCGTTGGCGCGAACTTGACCGTGGGCGACCTCATCACTCTGGATGGAAAGATCCAGGAGTACAGGTACGATACAGTATTGGGCTCTCAATGACACGTAGAGTTCCTCTAACAACACAAAAAACAGGTCCGCCACGAACTACATCTACCTCACAGAGCTCAGCTCCCCCAAGAACGTCGTCGTCGTTTCAAAAGGTAACGCGGTCACCCCGCTCGTCATCGGCGTCGACACCCTGCACCCGCCGACGGAGCAGTACAGCGGCCTTGATGGCGGTGACGTCTATGCCGTCCCCAACGCCGTTGCCAACATCTCCACCGAGAACCCCGTCCTCAACCCGGCCCTCTACGGCCTCGACTTCTGGGAGTCGCTGAGCGGCGAGCTCGTCACCATCAAGAGCCCTGTTGGCATCTCTCGCCCCAACCAGTACGGCGACACCTGGGTCATTGGCGACTGGCCCGTCACCGGCCGCAATGCGCACGGCGGTCTCACCATGTCTGACAAGGGTATACATCGTCTCTCTTCTCTGAATCATACAAGTCACTAACACGGCAAACAAGACTCCAACCCCGAGGCCATCATCATCGGATCCCCCCTCGACGGCACAAAGAACCCCGAGTCCAAGATGGGCGACGAGCTCACCGAGATCACCGGCATCGTCACAAACGCTTTCGGCTTCTACCGCATCCTCCCCCTGACCGGCATCACAATCGCAAAGAACGCCACCAACAACGCGCCCGCCACCACCCTCGTCAGCCGCGGCGACTGCAGGGGCATCACAGTCGGCGACTACAACGTCGAGAACCTCTCCCCGACCGTCGCCCACCTCCCCTCCGTCGCCGCCCACATCGTAGACTACCTCAAGACCCCCGACCTCGTCTTCGTCCAAGAGATCCAAGACGACAACGGCGCCACCAACAACGGCGTTGTCTCCTCCAACCTAACCCTCTCTACCCTCACGGCAGCCATCGAGACCAAGTCCGGTGTCGCGTACGACTGGGTCGTCATCGACCCCGTCGACGGCAAGGACGGCGGCCAGCCGGGCGGCAACATCCGCGTCGCGTACCTCTACAAGCCCGACGTTGTCGAGCTCTACAAGCCGAACCCGGGCGGCGCGCTCGACGCCAACGAGGTCCTCGAGGGTCCCGCGCTCAAGTATAACCCGGGCCGCATCGACCCCACCAACACCGCGTGGGACGCCAGCCGCAAGCCCCTCGTCGCGCAGTGGCGCGCCGTTAACGGGCCCGTTAACAAGACCTTCTTCACCGTCAACGTGCACTTTGCGTCCAAGGGCGGTTCCTCGTCCCTGCACGGCGACCCCCGTCCTCCCGTCAACGGCGTCGTGAACCCGCGTATCGAGCAGGCCAAGATCACCGGCGTGCGTTCCCCCATCACTCCAAACTTCCAAAGGCGCCTAAGCTAACTTGATACTACAGTCTTTCATCGCCGAGATCCTCGCCCTCGACGCAAACGCCCGCATCATCACAGCCGGCGACTTCAACGAATTCGCCTTTGTCGAGCCCCTCAAAGTCTTTGCCTCCACCTCGGGCCTCATCGACCTCGACGAGGCCGTCGGCGTCCCCGTCGAGGAGCGCTACACCTACGTCTACGACATGAACGCGCAGGAGCTGGATCACATGTTTGTCAGCCCCGCGCTGGCGAACAAGAACGGCACCGCGTACGAGCACATCCACGTCAACTCGTGGGAGCTGTACGATGATCTTGTCAGCGATCATGATCCTTCTGTTGCGCTGTTTAATGTCTGTGGATGCTAGGTGTAGTTTCGCTATGCCGAGGGGTATATGTTCTTGTATATATGATTGTGGTGCTGAATTGAGATGTATATGAGATATGAGAGTAATACATAATGCCAAAACGAAACTACCAGCCCAGAACACCAAAGCATGTGTTGTTACTTGAAGGACAGACAAGCCTGCCTGACCCCTACATACAAGCTATTCAAGAAGAAGGCATCCAACTAAATTATACGGATATCCTCCCAAGGGACATCCTTCATATCTTCGTCGTACGTAATATCAGTGCGGGTGAATGCTTCCTCCAGAGGAAGAAGCCGCGCCTCTGTCTCTCTCACAAGATCAAGCAGCGGCTCCCAACTTACCTCGCTCACAAGATCCGGTGACGCCGGCTCCACCTCAGGGTTTGTAAAACTGCTAGTCAATTCCGTCCTGATTGACTTTTCTGTGGCCCAGAATCCATTCTCGCTGCCATGTTCTTCTTCATCTATTTCAGAGGAAGGGGGATCAGGACTGTGGGGCCTCGCGTTTACCAGAAGGGTCCATGAATTAATGAATTCGGCCGCCCAAGTGTTGAGATGAGAGTCGTTCGATTTCCCGTAGAACCAAATATTCTCAAGAGGCTCCTCGACCTCAGGGAGCTTCCCGACTCTCAAATTCAATGAGTCGTGCGCCCATGGCACGGTCTGTTCTTGGAGCGTGCCCTTGCGAAGAAAGACGCCGCCGGCCATCCGTGAAATTTTCTCGAATGTGATGATCTTTTGATCCAGTCCTTGACTCAGAAGCGCTTTGACAAAAGGCTGTAGACTACTCTTCAGAGGAAACACGTAGTACTCGTCGTGGTTGTAGTCGTCGCGAAGGCTGTCGTAGTCGTCGTAGTCGTGGTAGCGTACACGCCTCTCTCTGAATTCTGCCAGGAAGTCGCGTATACGAGGTTGTCTGAAATATTCCGTTTCCCATGGAATACTGCGCTGATAGCCACCTGACTGGTCTCTTTTCGGAACAGCACCATATTCCCAACCCATAATCATCAAGGCTCTTAATAGATCATGATCTTGCTTCAAATGCCGTGTGTTTTGCAGCTCACTGATTGTTGCCCATCTGCTTGGGGTCCAATCCTGTGTCTTATTGTAGTTCCTCATCCGGGCTCGGAGGCGACACCCAAGGCCAAGTTTTGATGAACCCTTATCATCGGCTTCCAGGTTTCTTGCATGCTTCAATCCCCAGCATACAGCTTTGATTGTGTCCCATGTGACTGTCTGAAACCAGAGTTCTCCGTCGCTCGCGGCTCTGAGCACATACTGCCAAGTAGAGAAAAGAAGAATCACCGTGCGATCTATATGGTTGATCAACTCAGGGAGACGGGCAATTCTGGGCTGTTTGGCAATAGCTACAAATTGGTATGTCTTGGGTGCTCTTGTGACAGGCCGAAGTACCAGAGAACAGTCGTGGAGCCCTTTGATTTCTAGAATTTCGTCGGTCGACTCGGCCCAGTCCGGCACCGCCTCCGCGTAACGTGTCCCTGGAGTGCGATAAATTTCATCTTTCAGGACGCCGGGAGGACCTTTTCGAGATTCAAAGTCGAAAAACCGGCTTGAAAGTTGAGACACGAAGCGTCCTCGAAGTACCATAGTACCATCACGATAAAAGCGAGGAGTATCTTGAGGTTCGCTGATAAGATATGTTCCTGAATCCGCCTGGGGTAGGTGTGGCCCCATATTGTTCAAGGCGCTGACCGACGACCAGTCAACAACCCACGATGCAGGCAGAGACGAGGCTGATGGCTCAAGTGCTGCAAATATTGGCAGCATGAATGCTGAACTTTGACAGAGCATCCAAGCAGTCAAGCCGCTAAACACTTGGTCCAAACTGAGAGCATAGTCTGCAGTCAACTGGGCTTCGTTTGCTCCTGGGAAGAGACCTAGCAAAGCGTAGACCTTGTCTCGGGGGTCCGTTGCCTGACATTGAAGTGTAGCTTGTAAGAGCTTTGGAAGCTCTTGTAGGTCCATGGGCCTTCCTCGAGAAAGCAAGTGGAACCAATCTTGCTGCTGGTGGAGCTGATTCGATCCATCACCAGCATTTTTGGTGGAGCTGCGGAAATCAAGCCATCGGTCTCCTTTAGTCCCATAAAGAACCCAACAATCTTGCGCCGCAGCTATCTCTTGGATCACCCATACTCTCTTAAAGTATGGCTGTTGCGTGAGATCTGTGTGCACAGGCAACGATCTCTCGTAATATGTGTTCCATTTATCGAAATTCCACGGAGATGAGCTGGTGGCATTCAAGTCTTCTTCATCTTCCCCCAAGTAGATCAAAACCCTGGAGGCAGTTGCGTAAATGTTTTGCATGATGCCAACTTGATGGGACCTTTCGCCCACGTCGTTCTGGTTGATGCAAATGGCGTCGACCCAAAGTTTTCTGCTGCGGTTGGAATATCGTAAACGGCGAAGAGCATTGAAGCAGTTCTTGGTGACCAGCAGGGTATCCCATCGATCACCAATGTAAACCTTCTCGCACTTTGAAGAGTCCTTATTTTCGTCTGCCCATGTGTATGAGAGAGCTTCGTATTCCGGTTTGATGGCCAAATCTGCGACTTGAAGCTCGACTCTGACTGGGTCATTGTAATTGCCTTTGAGTAACTTAAGAAGCCGGATTTTTCGTGCGAACAAAGGCTCATACGGCGCCTCAACTTGGATAGAAGAGTCTATCGCAGGCTTCTGGTTGCTTGTGGTGGGCTGGCCTATATATGGCGTGATATTTCCGCGTACATCTTTGGGCAAGGATGTTTTCGATTCCGCGGTCGTTTCTTTCGGCGGCTCAGATTCTAAAGGATCATCCACGAATGGTAGTGAAAGTGGCCACGTGAGTTCAAATCTTGTCGTCGGAGCCGGCACAAATGGTGCATCGTGGTGTTGAGCCTCCGCAATGCCTTCTAATGTAGCAATGCATCCACAGCTGCTACATGTCGGCACACCCAGACCTTCATTGAATTCGACATCAGGTCTCCGGCATGCCTCGTGCCAATTGAATATGGTCATTGCTTGCTCTCGTTCCAAGTATTGACGATACCGCGTGGTGATGCTAGAACGTAGAAAGATAGCAAAGGACGCGAGCGTTCCCAGAAGGCCGAGCAAGATCAAGTAAGGTATCGATTCAAGTAATACACCAACGGCGGGGTATGGGGTATTTAGCAGCCTGACTGACAGCCCAACTTTGCGATGAATGTTAGAACCCGACATCTGCAAGTCTCATTGGCTTGAGAGACTACGCATATATAGACGGTGGCGCAGGGACTGCGCCAACGATAGATTTCAGATCGGTGTAGGCAAGGCTTCACCCAAGGATTAGGTTGAAGACAAGGCAGATTTGAAGTCTCAGTGCAAGGAACCATTGGATGTGTGCTGCGCTTCAGACATGTAGGGGGTTCAGCCACTGTGCCCGTTTCAATCAGCAAAGCATGGCTGGATTAGCTGCATGCGACGGAACACATAAGTGCCGCGGTCAGAAAGCGTCACCAATTTCTATGTCTATACTATCTATCACTAAGTGCATTTCGCCGCAAGAGATGCGGCAGCCTTCGATTTCCTGCTCTCGCCTTGTCGTCTCAACCGCTGTCGACCAACATGCCGACAGTATGAGACATTCATTGGCGCATCTCGTTCTGTTGATAATTGGCTATGAACCATGATTACTGGCTATGATCAATACCAGTCCGCTGCTTGATATCTTATGCATCATGTTGAACACGATAGTTGGGCTTGGCTGACGCGATTGCGATATTTCTTTCGATACGCTCAGCCTCACATACAGGATCAAGCAAAGGTATCTACAATACCTCCACACTATTGAAGTAGCCTGTACAGAATCCTCTTCATTTTGGGCACTTGTAGCTTTCAGTCCGATGTGCCGCACTAGCCAGGGAGGTCTCCTTGGCCATTATGACGTCTAGGTAACCTTTCCTCCATCTTTCCATGAATGAAGGGTTCTCATATAGCCCGTTGTGAGATGGCAAGAGAAAAGTCGTCTCGTCAAACTATCACAATATCCTCCCACACAGCTTCACTTCTTAACTCGTCCATCGGTTGGTTCGCCTGCAGAAATGATTCCTCCAAAGGATACAGGTGCGCCTCGGTCTCCCGTACCAGGTCAAGTAAGGGCGCCCACTTTGCCTTTGCGTCGGCCAAGTAGCCCCTCCCCGATGCTTCTTGCCTCTCGGATGTCTCAGCGTCAACAAAAGAACCTGGGCGATGTCCCTCCATCAGATTGCTCCATGCTTCGAGGAAACGGGCCCCCCACGTGTCTTCAACTGAATCGACGCGGGAATCTAGATCTTCCCTGCCAGAATTTGGTTCCAGGTTCAGGAAGTCCAGCAACCATTGCACCATTCGCTTGTACTGAGGTGTTTGAGGCTTCTTGTCCGGGTCTTCATCTTTCGAGAACATTAAGTGTAGACTGAATACCTTTTCTTCGAGACCCTCGTACAGCAGCCTACTAACAAATATCTTTGATGACGGCATGTCAAAAGGCATACAGTCGATGTCGTCATCGAGAAAGTCACCAAATAGATGAATCCAGGACTCTTCTTCTGCCAGGTCGATATATGTTCCTGGGTGGTCCAGCGACTGCTTAGCCCCCGGAGATTTCATGGCGTTCTTGCGTAACCGCCATTCCCATCGAGCTCGCAGAAGGCTCTTCTGAGTCGTAGGTATGCTTTTGATAATGAAGTGAAAAAGGTCGTAGAGGTGATGCGTCTTGATCTCGGAGGCGTAGTTGTAGGTCTCTGATGTGTAATTGCTTAAGTTCAGGTATCTTGGGAGATCTCGTTCAGCCGACCTGGCAATGTATTCCAGTCGTTCGAGAGTTTTCCTGTTGAGACACGTTTCATCCAGCTGGGACGCTATCTGCCAATAAATCAAGTCTCTGGTTCGCAAATGAAGATTTCCGTTGTGAATCTTCTGATCCATCAGGGGCTGGCGTCGCTTTTGGAAGTATTTCTTTTTTGCAAGACTTTGCCCAAGCAGACTGTAAGTGTCAACAGCGCTTGTGTTTGCCATATGCTGATGACAAATCTCACAGACCATCCCAGCAAGAGACTGCAGTTCTTTCACGAAAAGCGGGCAAGTATTTGAGTTTTTCTGGGTCGTCGAGAGTTGCATAGAGTCAGCGAGGACTCCCTTTTGCTGGAGCAGTATCGATTTTGGGACCGTATTTCCAAGTCTTCGCAATGCCTCTTGGGTTTTCTCAACCGCATATGGTGGTAGCCTCGCTGACACAGAAGTCTGCATCTTAACCAAGGAGTCTAAGAAGCGGCTGATGGTATCTTCCAACACCCAGCATTCCTTCACCGTTTGACATACATCTCTGATCATATCCCACCGCTCAGAAGAATACCATATTTCTCCACTGCTCAACTCTTCTCCTAAGACATATCGCCATGTTGAAAAGAGCAGAACCACTCTTTGGTCCAAGAGGTTGACGGTTGCAGCCATCGGTTCCACTTTGGGGTGCTTGCATATGGCAACAAACCGGTACGTTTTCGGGTTCGTCATGATCGGTCGAAGTATCAGGCAGTACCCAGACAGGCTCTGGACAGCGAAGATCTCGTCCGTAGATTGGCACCATCCAGATGGGACCATGGGTCGAGAATCACTTTGTAGATGCCAGATTATGGATTGCTGGTATACAATATCTGTCACAACTCCAGGTGGGCCGTCCCGTGCTCCATGGTTAAAGGCGCAGCTTCCAGCCTGTGTAACTAGGCGTCCTTTCAGTACCAAAGATCCATTGCGGTAGATGCGGGGGATGTAAAGTGGCTGCGATTGTTTGCCCTCGGCTTCAACTATGGGTTTCGTCTCGGCCATATATGGACCCAGGCGTTTCACTTTGGTCTCTGATGACCAGTCCATGACCCACGAAGGCATGACATGAGAGTCTTTGGAGTCTATCGCCGCGAAGATGCGCCACATCTGTTCGGTATGGTTGACAAAGATATATGCTGTGACACCGATAGCCACTTCCTGGTGACAAAGGGTGTAGTCCGCGACCAGTTTCGCGTTGTTGGCACCATGAAAGAGGCCCAGTATAGCAAACACCTTGTCTCGCAGATCAGATGCTTTGCACTGAGCCGCAGCGTATAGAACATATAAAAGCCTGTCCAGTTCCATGTATCTTGGCTTGTTGCAAATGTACAGCCATTTAGGCAGTTTTTCTCTCGTCATGGGCCGATCAATGGAAAGAGACAGGTCTCTATTGCGATTCGAATCTGTTTCGGAATTCGTCACCCCAAGGAAGTCATGCCAGCGAGCTCCCCTCGATCCATAGAGCACCCAAGCATCTCTGGCGGCAGCTATTTCTTGTATCACCCATACCCTTCTAAAGTATGGGTTCTCAGCGAGAGTGGAAGGCGAAGCTAAAGGCCGGTGTATGTATTTGCCGTCGGTCCATGGGACTGGGTTCAGGCCATCAGGATCTTTCGAGTCCTCGCCAAGGTAAATAAGGACCCTAATAGCAGCTGCGTATATATACTGCATAATTCCGACTTGATGAGACCTCTCCTGCTTGTTATTCTGATCGATACAGATAGCGTCGACCCATAAGTCACGTTCTCGGTAGGGAAATCGCAGACGCCGAAGGGCGCTTGCACAATTTCTGGTGACCGGGAGGATGTCCCAATGCTTCCCAACATAGACCCTGTCACATTTCGAATCATCTCCATCGTTATCAGCCCATGTGTACGACAAAGCCTCAAATTTTGGACCAGAGGTCAAGTCTGTAAGGCGGATATCGATGTGAATAGGGTCATGGTGGCGTTCCGCAGCGGATAGGCGAAGAAGACGGATCTTGTGGGCGATAAGAGGCTCGTAGAATACTTTTTCTTGACCGCATGCATCTGCCGTATTGTTATGTACAGATCGGATTCGCAATCCGCGATCTGTAGTGCTAGCTGCGCCCTTGCTCTCTGCCGACAGGGGTTGCGGTTGCGACTCGACTGGCGAATCATGCTCGTGGCTTGTGCCGGGTACTTCTCCCACAAAATTTATAGAACCTGGCCATCTAAGCTTGATCGTGGTAGCTGCATCTGGCGTTGAAGATGGAGATGTATCGACATAAAGACGTTGCAAATCGACCAACAGCGGGGCAGTCATCCCACAGCTCGAGCAACACAAAGTCTCGAAGCCTTCCGGCTGGGACACTTCAGGTCGCCGGCAGCTTTGATCGTGCCAATTCAACATTGCAACTAATTTTCTCGTAAATTTTAGTTTCTTTGAGTTGCGTATGGTGTTCTTACCACGGAATTCCAATTCCAGCATCTTATATCATGACTGCCCGTGTAACAGCAACCTGAACAAGAACCGCCCCCACAGGCCCCCACGGTTATTCTTCTTGATTCACCCAATAGCCGCGTCTCTGACATAAGCAATGCATAGCAGGAATCGTGAGCTGCAGATTTGACTGGCTAGATAGGCTGTGCCGTTGCCGTGGCGCACAAATCTGTCAACCATTCTCAGCTTCCTGACCGGCAACCTTCGCTTCCGAGCCGTTTTGAGAGAAAGTGAGCTTATATTCGCAATTTGAGCCATTATTGACTCGGTAAGATTCCAAATATGAAAGGAGACAACTCGAATGGGTGTCATGCCTGGGAAGACTCTGATCGTGAACTTCACCGAGAAAAGGGTGACACGCGTCGAGTGACGACGTGCATAGGGCTTCTAGAGCATTCACCCAATGCCCATGTGTACATACCTACTACAGTTTGCGGCACGGGAGAGATGTAAGACCATAATTCCTCATTGTATGCACCAAAGTTCTCAATTTTTTGTCACTGACGCCGCCTCCTGTAGGCTGTAGGCAATCACTACTAATGTTCTCGTCAGTATTTGTCAAAACGCACCGAGGGATGAAATGAGTTAGAACTTGGCGGGACTACATATCGGTAATCCCTGAAGTTGGAAGATATGTAGCCAGACATCACATGAACAAGAAGGGCGCAATCTAGAGCCCAAGAGGTTTGTACCCCCGGCAAACGGCATGTCTTGTAGCCTCGTTCAAGATCAATGTACTGGATATTCAATCATTAGCTTGAATTTATTTGTCATAATTGAAAAGGTACCGTCGACATCTTTGATGTTGTACAGGTATATAAGGTTGATTCGTGCGGATATGGAGAGAGGTGGGAAACAGAGGTACATAGCTGGTACACCAAATCCAACCATGATGTTTGACCAACTCTAGGCAGCTAACGCATAGATGATATATGAGCAAAACTCTCTGTGTAGTTCCTCTACTGTCAGATTCAAGGCACTTACCGCTGTCCCTAGCGCTTTCCTTCCTGACTACCGCTCTGTGGGAGCTCATCAAGTACACTTCTAACTGACTACTGGATGGAACGTAGCATCTATTATCATGCAGAGTCCCTGAGGAAAATAAATCCATAGGGTTATCAATCTCCAGCATTCCCAGTCTCACTCGCCCCAATGTCTTTCTATAGAGCGAAAGGTGCCTGACGAACCAGTGAATATGGTGGAGTACACGTAGCATGAATTCCTTCTTGAGGGCGTAGCACATGAGCAGTGTAGGTCGACTTTTTCAAACAAGACCCTCACGGCACACCCTACATCTTGTACTCGAACTCTAAATCTCCCTTTCTGCAACTGTTCATATATCTAGCGCCGCACGTAGTCACTTCAGTCTGCCTAAACAGAAACCTCAAAAACGACTATCAACACCCGGCCTCACCACGCCACAACGCCCTCAATCTCACCGAGCACACTGCACACTCTTTCAAACCTTACTCTCCCCCTTCGTACCCTCAGCAGTCCCCTGCCCACCCTTCTTCTCCTCCGGCGCAAACGTCAAACTGACACTGTTAACACAGTGCCTCTCGTCCGTCGGGGTGTCAAACCCTTCCCCCTTGAAGACGTGACCCAGGTGCCCGCCGCAGTTGGCGCACACAATCTCGGTGCGCGTCATGCCGAACATGCGGTCCTCGTGGCGGACGACGGCGCCCGGCAACGAGTCAAAGTAGGCCGGCCAGCCGCAGCCCGACTTGAACTTGTGCGTGGCCTTGTAGAGAGGCGCCTCGCAGCCGGCGCAGGCGTAGACGCCCTCGGAAGGGTAGTGCTTGTCGAATTTGCCGGAGCCGGGGGGTTCGGTGCCCTTTTCGCGGAGGATGCGGAATTGCTCTTATGAGGTGTCAGTTTCATCCATTTCGTATTCTTCGCGGGCTATAGGCACTGCTCGTCTCATGAAAGCCCGGGTTTTAAGATGAGAGACGCGGCACATGAGATGAAGTGAGAATGGGGCATACATACCCTTGTTCAAAACAGCCCGCCACTCATCATCAGACCTCTTATCGGGGTACGACATCTTATCCTGCTGCGAAGCGGAAGATCCAAACAGAGCGCCCAGGAACGGGATCGAGGGCATGGAAGCGCGGAGCTGTCGGTTCGCTGCGAGGGGCGCCTGGGTGCCGAGGGACTGCGCGGCGCGGACGCGGGAAAAGTTGGAAAAGGTATAGACGAGGGTTGAGAGGAAGGGTGAGAATCGCATTTGGCGGGCAATTCTCTTCTAGATCGCGAGGTACAGTGTGTCTCACCAGTCTTATGAGTCGGTGAGTTTGAGGTTGTGCTGATCACTTCGTAATTGAAGGTTGAGGTTGGAGGGAGGTTTATATAAGAACGTCGTCTGAAGATGTTACAGGACGAGGGGTGAGAAGTGAGGCAGTGGAGGGCAAGAGTGACAAATCGGAGCTCGGGTTGTCCAATGATTTGTAGCTGTGGCCAGTGAGAAGCTGAGGGCGACCTGTTGCGTCAACGACTTTTGGCGGGGTGTGGTTCTGCAGTGCAGAGTTCCCTGGGGGTCCGGGCTCAGAGCTCTTGGAGAGAGGTCCCGCCACAGCGGCACTGCAAGCGCCACAGCGTGGAATCATGATGGAATCACGGCAGAGGATTCCACGACGCGCCCGTTATCCGAGGATCCACCGGGTCAACCTTTGGAATCCTCACATCAGCATCAGCCACCCATGCAGTTTGGAATCACTGTAGACTTTTGACACTTGGAATGCCGTGATTATTTGATTTGATTTTGTTCTCAGAAGGAAGACCTCACATGCCACATCATATGGCCACTATCAGCACTTCACTCGATACCCGCCCGACATGAGCTTCACCAACTTTTCAGACGCCTCCTTTCACATTCAATCCGCCCATCCCGCTCAACCGTTGCCTCTCACTAAACGCCATTCCCCGATGCCTTCTTCTCATCTCATCTCATCTCATGCCACTCATAACGTTCCTTTTCCATGAAAAGTGATCTCTCAAATTGAGTGCTTAAAAGTTGGCTTTGCCAGCAAACTTCTCATTTTGGACAACCTCAACCCAGTAGTTATCAGGATCCAACAAGAACGCAACGTTCTTCATGCGGCCGTCAGTGAGGCGCTTCTTCCAGTTGCACTTCAACTCCTCGAAACGCGCGCACGCGGCGTCAATGTTGTCGACCGTGACACCTATCCTCTCATTAGCCCTTTTCTCGCAACATTACTTGGTCGCTTCAACCGCGTCGACTGCAAAACTCACAAATGTGTCCAAAGCCCTGGGGCTGGTCGTTGCCGTTGTGATAGCTGAAGCTCTCGTCCTTCTCGGTGCCGTGGTTCCAGGTCAGCTCGAGGATGCCCTCGCGCTGCGCCTGGCTCTCGCCCTCCTTGAGGTCGCCGTAGGCCAGGAAGAAGAGGGTGAAGTCGCTGGCCTCGTTCTTGCGGATCAGCGTCATGCCGAGGACGTCCTGGTAGAACTTGAGCGACTTTTCGTAGTCCTTGACGCGGAGCATCGTGTGGTTCTACATCCCACAGAGGGTATTTGTCAGCGGTTCCTGCGTCAAAGAGGGCCCAAAATAAAGACAGGTAGTCTCACCATTCTGTAGGTAGTCACATCCGTAGTGGTGATACTCTCCGTCTGCTCAATCGGCTTCTGACCGATAATCTCAACCCAGTACTGATCGGGATCCAACACGAACGCAATGTGCCGCATCTTGCCGTCCGTCAACTTCTTCTTGAAAGCATACCCGGCGTCCTCGAGGCGCTGGCACGCCGCCTGGATGTTGTCGACGCTGATGCAGGTGTGTCCGAACCCGCGGTGCGGCTCCGTGTTGCCGTTGTTGATCTTGTACTCGGGATCGTTCTCGGTGCCGTAGTTGTGTGTCAGCTCGATGATGCCCTCACGGTCGAACGTGCCGTTGCCGGCGGACCGCGCGTTGGGCGAGTCGTAGGCCAAAAAGTAGAGGTCGAACTTGGCCTCGGGCTGCTGGATCTGCTTGATGACCTTCATGCCGAGGGCCTCGTAGAACTTTACTGTGAAGCCGGGGTGTCAATAGGGGTGCTGGAAGATGAGTGGTGATGTTTGGTGCATACCCGAAGCCTTGGGGTCCTTCACTCGGATCACTGAGATTATCAGCAAATATTTCTGAATCGGTCATGTACCAACTTACTCGAGTGGTTGAACTTGTAGTTCTTGACATCCGTCGTGGCAACCATGGTCGCGAATTGACTGATTCGTCCTAAAGACACAAACCGCAATCAGTTACACTGCATCTCGGCGATGAGGCAGAAGAGATTGGGAGCCCATGAGCGCCAAGCCATTATACAAGACTCACCGATAGGTTTCGTGGAAAGTGTGTTCTGTATAAGCTTAATTCTCTGCAAGGCTCGGAGGGCGTTCATAGAAGCAACAAGGTTGGTTCATGCAATGGTTGCTTTCAGGAAGTTTGGGAGCGGGGGGGAGTCTTGACAATTATTTCGGGGATCGAAGCTGCATCAGATGGAGCCTTTTCGGATATAACAGTTGGAAAAAAAGTGCATGACGATTTGTCACTGTCGAGCTGGGCTCCGTCTGTCTTGTCGCAGCTCCTTGTCTGAGCAAATAGCTTACCCCGCCACGAGAGAGCTGCCCCTCACCAGATCCCCACTGACGTCAACATGAAGCCAATAGCACAGCACGCCGATTCCCCGTCTTACTCGAGGCCGCTCCGGACCCGAACGCCATCGGGCGACTAGTCGGAACAAGAACAGCAACTCGGCTCAATTGGGCCGGAAAGCACTGGTCACGCAAGAAGGACCTGTTTCCACGAGGGAGATATCTTCTACGTGAATACCCGCTGCGATTGATCTCGGAAGTCTATTCTAAGCACGCCTGCTGCAGAGCGTCTGTTTCCCATCCTGTCAACAAGCCCTGCTCTCCATTTTGCCCGCTGTCTGATGCAATCGCTTCCGGTACGCCGACACACAAACAACCTCATATGTAGTACATTGTGTCCTTCAAGTTCTCATGCACGCTGACGCTCAAAGTCGACGGGCCACCAACGGTACTGCCAGTCTCCGACGCTTCCGACGCATCAAAGTGCTCAGGCCGGTGGACACGAGCTCTCTCGCACACAATGTCTGCGTAATAGGCTGGGGGGCAGATGCTGACGGCCTTGGTAGCTCGGCCAAACGAGTAGCAGAGGTCGTGGGTGAGCTTCTCCAGGTTATCCGCCGCTCTGTCGCCGACACCATACTTATCGCGGAAAATCTCGTCCAAGAGCACCGTGTAGTGAGCCGGGCGGGCGGTGCCCTTCAAGGCAGTGTGAGCTGTAAGGAAGAAATCCCAGTAACGCGCTTGAGTGATTCCACGATCGACAACCGTGCCGTTCTTGATGTTGCGCGACTTGGGATCCATGTCAGCTTCCGAGGTCGGATAGAATCGAGTCTGGTGGCGCTTGACAGAGACGATGATCGAGATCTTGGGCCTGCGGTTACCGTACATCGCGGTACACGCTTGACGGATCATGGGCAGCTCAATATCGAGGACTTGCGTGAACTGACCCTCAGACACGCCATCACGGTAGATGACGATGTATTCCGGAAGGTTGCCCTTGTTGTGCGCTCTCCAGAGCTCGAGGCGACGCTTGAAATGGGTGACCAGCTCGTTACCAAGCATTTCCTGACGACTGTCCTGTTCCCAAGCGACGCCCGGCCATTGACCCATGTCCTTATCAACGCTGGCGACCAAGCCGACCAGACTGGGTGCCGAATTCTTGTCATTTGGCATGTTGGTCGGATGAGTGACGTCGTAGCCAACGATCATTGTCTTCCCCTGGTTGACAATGTCAATAGGATCCTTGACGATGTGGTTGACACCACCATTCTTCAGGTTCCATTTGAGGCCGACGTTGGCATAGGTCTGCTTGTTGTCCTTCATGAAGGTTTTCTCCACAACGCACACAGAGTGGAAGCCATACACCGTATCTGCGAGCTTCTTGACGGTGCTGTACAATCCAGTATCCTGTCTGGGAAGGACGATGAGCAAGAAGAGACCCTTGGCATTGTGCTTCTTGAACTTGAAGTACTCGTCCAGCTTCTTGAAACGATCAGCGATTGCGCCGGCGCTGTCGGCTACTTCGTGATCTGGAAGTTCAATAGGAGCCGAAAGGCTCATGCCGTTGGTCCTAAGCTCTTGAGCAAAGGCGCCGACGACTCGTTCCACTTCACTTTTCGAGCTCCTTGAGTATCGGTCCTTGATACGCACCCATGTCCAGCTACTGATATTGGGTCCCGCCTTGGCAAACTTGGCATTGATCATGTTCCATGAGCCTTTTGAAGCGGTGATGCTCTTGTTCGCATACGAAAGATTAGGCGCGATTAACTCGCGACCGTGGACGGTCAAGAGATTCTTGTCGACCTTGAGGCCAAAGTCCTTGACAACCTCGCTGTCGAGGCCCAAAGCTTTGCAGCTGTCGAAAGTGAGGGAGATGGCGTTGCTAAAGGGGGATCGACAAGCAAAGTTGAGCATCTCGGTCGTCTCCTGGCCGTTGAGCTTTGCGCGAACAGCTTGGCCGGCAATGATGGTGCACTGCTCAGCTGGGAAGAATGTCGGCTTTTCGCGGGTTCCAAGGTTGACGAGAGGCAAGGTGAGGTCGGGAGCTGTGCCATACTTCCAGGTCCAATATTGCTCGACGGTGTACATGCCTGGCGGTCTGTTGTTCATCACCGTCCTTTGTCCGTCTGCTGGCTCCATCCTGAAGGACACCTGGCGAGGGCCACCGTAGTGCCATGGATCCGCAATTCTAGCATCGTTGCTCCTGAGGTCTCCCCTGTATGCAAGGCCGAGAACCGTCTTCTTACGGGTGATCTCTTGTCCCTTTGCATCCTTGAACTTGATCTCGACACGAGTGCGAGCCAGAAACTTGGACAAGGCGCGAAGTCTGGTGATGTTCCGTGTGGCATCTGCAGGGCTCCTTTGGAAGACATCGACCTGAGACCAAAGGCAAAGGTCGCGAATACTGACGGGCATCTTGAAGACACCATGGGTGACGTTGACGTTCAAGAGCATTGACCCTGTGCCGAGTTTCACGCTTTGGAAGTATCCTCTAATAGCCGTGAGAGGATCCTGTTGGCCAAGCTGGTGACTGGTAGATCCTTGACCCCAAGGAAAGAACCGGCCCTTGCCAATAGCAGTGACCTGGTCGTTCTTACGGGCAGTGTAGCCGAGAATGACGCCTAGAGCGTCGACAGAGGCTGCAAATCTAGGGAAGTTGGCTTCGTCTGGGTCGCTCTTGTCAATCATGGTCTGAAGATACTCCTTCATCTCCTTCAATGGAGCTGCTGTTTCGCCAACGATCTTAACCAGGTAGCTCTCTGACCTGTCGGAATTCTCCTGCCTGAGGATAACCTTGATGGGGTTGACGGCCAGCTTGAGCTTCTTCAGAGAGATGAGCTGGCTTTTGAACTCGGTGGCGAGAATGGCGTTTGGCTCAAGGTTCTTCAACTCTTCGAGAGCAGCTTGAAGAATGATCTTCAACTTGCGAGCCGGGATGGAAGATGGAGGGCCATCGCTGCCGCCGCCGCCGCTACTGCTGCCACCACCTCCAGGCTGGGCCTTCTCCTTGCCCTTGCCCTTGCCCTTAGGTGTAGACTCCTTCTCCTTAGTTTCGCCCTTGCGGACTTCAAGGTTGTACCGCCAAACGGCGTCAGGGTTGACGGTGAGGTGGAAGTAGTTGGCCCACAGGATGACCTTTTTGCCTTTGGTGCCGTAGGCAGGGCGACGGGGCATGAGTGCGGCCGAGTTCGCATCAGTGAGCGTCATCGAGCTCATCTTCTTGAAAAGTTGGGCGTCCTGAGACTGGTGAGCCTTGATGATGCGATTCTCGAGCTCGATTGTGCCGCGGTCGGGTTGGGGAATTGGCTTGTTCTGACTGCTGAGAGTTAGTCGAGCTTTAGCGATGGCTGTGATCTTGAACCTACCCGAAGAATTGAGACTCATTCTCGAATGGGTCTCTGAAGCCGCCGTAACCACCTCGTCCACCACCACCTCGTCCGCCGCGGTCAAAGCCGCCTCGTCCTCCCCGGTCACCTCTGAAGCCACCGCCACCCCGGTCACCTCGGAAGCCACCACCACGGCCACCACGATCACCTCCAGGACCGCCACCACGGCCGCCGCGGTCTCCTCTAAAGCCGCCACGTCCGCCGCCTCGGTCACCTCGGAAGCCGCCGCCATCGCCGCCTCCTCTAGGTTGGAAGTCACCGCCTCCACGCCCTCCTCCACCACGGCCTCCACGATCTCCACCACGGCCCCCACGATCTCCTCCCCGGCCACCACGTCCAGAGTCAGCCATTGAATGAGTGAAGGGATGTTCAGTAAAGCTGAAGCTACATAACAAATCAGTTACAAGTTCAACTGAGATTCCAGTGCTCGGCAACACGAACTGTGGGAGCGTTACTTACTGAACGAGACTGTATTCAGATATTCCTTGGCTTATTTATGTGCCCTGCGTCGTCAACGTGTAAGCATGAAAGAGCCCAGGTCAAGTATGCTTTCAGGGGAGAAGGCACATTTGACGTCGGCCAGCAAGTGGCATGCCAAACGGAAAAGTGCAATGATTTGGCCAATGGCGAATTAAAGCAAAAAGAACAATGGGTGACAAATGATGAAAGTACCAAGGGCAACCGACGCGGGAGGCCGTCAAAGGTAAAACAAACGAACCAAGGTAACAAAAAGCTACTCAGCTGATGATCTTGGGTTGGAGGTGTTGCGTTAGTCCAGCGTGAAAGATGGGAGATGGGATGGGTGAAAGTATGTAGGTAGGTAGTGGATCTCAGTCCCGGTAGGGAGGCGGCGGGTATCCTTGTGTGTCTGAAGTGGGGCACTGCACCAGAGAAAGTCAAAAAGGGTCTTTCCGGCTCCTTCACGACGGTACTTGGAAGTCCGGGGTAGCTTCGGAGGAGCTACTACCTACTTAAGCTTAAGGTGAAGGTCACTATGGTGCAAGAAGAGACACAATCAGGGTGGCAGGCAGTTTCGTAGCTTCCCACTGTTGTGAGAGCACCTGCAGATAAATATGGATGATTTGTCCAAGGCAAGCCAAACTGACGATGCCCAAGCTGACAGTTTGCACAGGGACGTAATGCAATCGTTGGAAACCGTCATTGGGACCTATTATCGGTGTCTATCACCCTATCAAAGAACTCGAACTACTGTGGTAAAAGTACTCTGTGCGACGCAACATCAAAGTGTAAAAACGGCGGGGGAGCATGGCCTCCTTCGCCCAAGCACCAATGTCTGCTTGAAGCTCACAACCAGCTGTCTTTCTCCCATTGCTCCCCATGTGGCTCAGCCAACGCCCTGGCATACTACCGGTGCATGCACAAACCCAGGATATCCAGGGGCTCTCCCGATTGGTTGAATGCGTTTGATCAGCTTCAAGTACACACAAGATGGTTGCAAAAGCACACCCACACCAGTCGATAGACTGCCTGCCAGGTATACGGCTCATGACTAAGCCGACAAGTACAGATCAACCTCGCTTCAACTTACGGCCATGACTATTCAGGATGTAAAGACAAAATCCCTAGTGGAGTAGATGTAGCTCTTTTCTCACTTTGCCGGCGCTTTCCTACCGGTAAGTGCGTAGATGTTTTGCTGTTCTGAACGTCGTTGACGATGCAGTCAAGCCCATGACTCCAGGCGAGGTCAAGCCAACGCAAAAAGCAAAAAGGAGCGGTGTGTATCTGCACAGCAGGGAAGCAAAAACAAATGGAGTGCCTACCTTGAGTGAGGGGTACGATCATTTGGTTTGCAATCGGCAGCTGGCCGGACCAGAACCACCGGGAAGGCGGAATTGTGGCTGCTGATTATCCATGTCATCAAGTCTTTCGCTCTGCTATGGCGCTTACCTTGCTTTCTTCGGGAGTCATATGCTATCAAGTCGAGAAAGCGTTTTATTTCTGGCATTTAACTAACATGAAGCTCGCGATCTTCCAGCTAGGACATTATGCCATCGCTATCGAAGTAGCGCATCGTTGCAGTCCGGCGTTTGGGGTGGGGCCGGCTGAGAAGGGACCTGGCAGCGGTTACCGGGCGATTAGCTGCATTGGAGATCCAGCGCAGGTTAACTGCATACCTTACATCAAGATGTGCCAAGCTATCTTGCCTACCTAGTGTGCCTAGGTAGATGAGTAAGTTGGTGCCCAAGTACGACTACCAACGACTCGAGAGATTGAGTGAGCGAAAGCGTGGAGCATTACACGACCTCAAGTTGAGGCGGCACAAAAAGTAGAGTATGCAGCTTGGACGATCATTTCAAATTGTTTGGATTTTACAATGATGCCCTCTCCCTATTTTCCTCTCAACACCGCAAACGCCCTCGTTGTAAACGCAGTTAGAAAACAACTTGTGAAAGGCAGTTTGTCGTCATCCCACAGTGCGCACCCTTGCATGACAGCGGACCACCGCATACGCCAGCATTGGCGGCAGCCCACCGGCGATATGGAAGCATCGAGCAAACACGCAACCAAACCATCATTGATCTCAATCCGTCGCTATTGGGCAGCCTTGACGTGGCCCGCCGTAGCCACCTTGAGAATATCGCCTTCGAGCCCCTTGATGTGCACGAAATCGACACCCGCCCTCTCGAGCGCGCTCCGTCCGGTATTATCCTTGACGAACTTTTCCGGCTCCTGGACACCTACGTACACGGTCTTGATAAAAGACCGCAGCTGGAGAATCCTCTTGGTACAGGGCAGATTCCCACTGAGCCTCGTCGAGCACGGTTCCATGGTCGTGTAGAGCACAAGCGGCGTCTTGATGACGGAGCCCAGCTCCTCCTCGGTAACGTCGTGCTGTTGGGCCAGCTTCATGAAGCAGCACTGCTCGGCGTGCGTGTTACCTGGCAGCTCCAAGGTGTAGCCCGTCGAGATGACTGTGTTGGTGGCGGGGTTGACGAGGGCCGCTCCGACTCTGTAATTTGTCGGCTTTGGTGGTGACTGTTTCGCCAGCGAGAGCGCATATTGGAGGTACCCCTCGTGGTCGCCTGGCGCTATCGGTGCTGGTTGAATCCCCTCAACCTCTGATGCCATTTTCAGGATATACGAAAGTTGACTGGATTACTTCGAGTACAGTGCGATAAGTGAGATTATGAGGATTTCCCGAGTGCCTTGAGATGTTTCAATTCTGCAAGACGAATTGAGCTGGAATGGACTCTAACATGAGATTGATTAGTTACAAAAAGTAGCTTTCATCAGTGAGCCAGTCATCGTGGGAGGGGCAGAGGGGCAGGGAGTGAAGCTCTTGCCTCAGCTCAGCGCATCGGTGCCGCAAGCCCCGTTTCGCCGACTTCCTCGACGCACGGACTGCTAATCGACTCGGTGCTTAAACGCATGCGCCCCACCACTTTAGCAGGCGCGTCTCCGCGAGCTTGAGCGCGTCGCAGAGCTCTGGGTGAGCTTTCTGTCTATCAACAACCCAACATTCACATCCCCACAGCCTTCAAAATGTCATCTCCCGACGAGCTTGTTGACGACAGTCCCCCCGAGATCGATCCCTATGAGATTTTGGGACTCGAACGCGAGGCTACACCGGAACAGGTCAAGTCTGCCTACCGAAAAGCAGCACTCAAGAACCACCCAGGTAAGAGGGAGCAGCCCACCATCCTCGTGGGGCATGACTGACATTACTTCTCGCGCAGACAAGGTCTCCGACGACCAGAGAGATGAGGCGAAGGAAAAGTTCCAAGCCATCGCTTTCGCATACGCCATTCTCTCTGACCCGGCACGACGCAAGCGATACGACACAACCGGTTCTACATCCGAGTCCATCATCGACTCCGAGGGCTTCAACTGGTCCGACTACTACCGCGAACAATTCCAAGATGCAATCTCTGCAGAAGCCATCGAAAAGTTTGCCAAGAAGTACAAGGGCTCCAACGAGGAGAAGGACGACGTCTTGATCGCCTACGAAAACTCCAAGGGCGACATGGACGGGATCTACGAATCAGTCATGCTAAGCGACGTGCTCGAGGACGACGAACGGTTCCGCCAGATCATCGACGAGGCTATTGCCAGCGAAGATGTCCAGGCATACAAGCGATACACAAAGGAGAGCAAGCTGTCAAAAGCGGCTCGCGTCAAGGCAGCAAAGGGCGAGGCGAACGAGGCCGAGGAATACGCTAAGGAGCTGGGAGTCCACGACAAACTCTTTGGCGACAAAAAGGGCAAGGGGAAGAAGAAGGGCAAGGATAGTGGAGAGGCCGACCTGGCCGCGCTCATCAAGGGCAACCAGCAAAAACGCGCCGGGTTTCTGGACGATCTCGCTGCCAAGTATGGAGCCACCAGTCAGCCTAAAAAGGGCAAGAAGAGGGTCGTGGAGGAGGAAGAGCCATCAGAAGAGGCATTTCAGGCTGCAGCTGCACGGCTGAAGAAGCCCAAGGCAGACGAAAGCAAATCTGCTAAAGCGGGTAGAAGATCGAAGCGGTAAAACATGGTACTTCTGGATCGGCGTCTAAGGCTTGGGGTAAATCGGCAAGGATACGGAATCTTGGTATGGGATACAATCACATGAATGAAAGTGATATTTCTGAATTTTTGGAGATTTTCCACGTCTTCACGATCATGTTCGATAACTCCCAACTTGGCGGATGGTGACGAGTGCTTTACTCTAGCACTATTTGGATGCAAAGTGCTTCATGTCACTAGTTAAGGTGAGGTAATGTGAGGTAGCACTTGTATCAGCATGGGGTCCTGGACGGTAGCGCCACAAGGCGGGGCACTCAGCACTGCAGTCGCTAAAACATCCCCAGGTCAACCACGAAAGTTTACTTTTCCCCCAAGAACGGAATCTCCCACTATCACGTACATGTTCCAACGCGACGCGCTTTCGGAGCCTCAGAACGGCCGACCGCTCCCATCCGAGGTAACCTGCAGCTGACTATCACGACATTTCACGGTCAGGTCTTGGTTGAGGATGCCAAAGTGATCCTCAACCGACAATGCCATGACGAGCGATGTATCAATAGGCGGCCTCTATCCGCAGTACTGCCTGCAACGCTCCCCAACCTTCAACACATGGTGCCTCATGCAGGCATCCGACGTCCACGCCCTGAAAACCGTGCCTGAATATGAAGGTAGAATTGCCGCCAACATGCATAGTATGCGTGGCTCCACAGGCTGACGAGTGAATGCATCCTGCAGTTCAAAACTTCTACTTCTACAAGAACCTGCCTATCAAATGGGCACGAATCATCGGCATCGTCGTTGCCGTGGACGACTTCCCGGGCCGGCGCATCTACACGGTTGACGACAGCAGCGGGGCTTGCATCGAATGCACAGTCGCGACAAAGACACCGCCGTCCGACAACAGCGCTACCAATCTGGACACCAACGGGTGGTTCACCAAACGACCGCAGCCGCAGCCTCCTGCCGACTGTGTCGACGTAGATGTCGGCACCGTCATCGATATCAAGGGAGGACTGGCTATGTTCCGTGAGGAGATGCAGATCAGGATCGAAAAGGTCAAGATTCTCCGGTCCACGGAGGAAGAAGTGGCGCTGTGGGAGAAGCGCACGCGGTTCCGGAACGAGGTGCTTCTGCCGCCGTGGGTGCTTAGTGAGAGGCAGATTCGGAAGTGTAAGAAGGAAGGGATGAGGGATGCCGAGAGCGAGGAGAGGAAGCGCAAGAGGGAGAGGAGGCGCGAGGAGAGGAAGAAGGAGGAGGAGGAGATGCGGCGCAAGACTGAGGCTGCCGAGGCGGCGGCTGCGCAGGAGAACCGGTATCGTGCATACAAGTTGAAGAAAGCAGATGGATCGCGGCCGATGGTACAGACCAGCCAGGTCGTTACGGCAGTTCCAACCACAACAGCGGCTGCAGCTGCCCCTATCGTGGAGGATCGATACCATGCGTACAAGTTGAGGAAAGGAGACGGATCGCGCCCGATTGCGTATGCTGGCCAAGTCATCGCGGCGGTACCGACAGAGGCTACGGCTGCGTCGGTCGTGGAGGACCGATATCGTGCCTACAGTCTGAAGAGGGGACACTCAATCCAAGAACAGCAGCCTCAACGAGTCGCGAGGCCGGCTCCGAGTCCGGCCGCGGAAGACCGTTATACAGCCTACAAGATCAAGAAAGGAGGAGACAGTCGGCCGGTCATGAGGCCAGATGCTACGACTATTGACACCGCTGCTGCCGAGGCCGTGGAAGATCGGTACCGCGTTTACAAGCTGGGCAGGTCTGGGGCTAATAGCCTAGAGAAGAAAAGATGAGACTGTGCAAGGGAAACAGCATTCTCTTGGTTTCTGATATACGGTTCATTATAGGCGCTTGGGGCGCTTGGGAGTAGACTTGCTTTCGATACCCGCGATTGGCTCTGCGATTTCAATTGACTACTATTACTATCCATTATATGATGCAGACTACACTTCCGACACCATCTTTCGCCTGACGCTACCTTCATCGAATTGTACAGTTCATCTACACATGTTCCAGTTCACAGCAGCAAGCCAAGTGTGGCCACTGACATTCGCCAAGATGACGCCAAGGATTTCTCCAAGATCATATTGCCTGGTGACAGGCAGAAGAAGCTGGTTACACCGAGAAGAAGCAACCTCTTGTCGCCAATGCGTCAGCAAAGGGCATCTTCTGACCACTGTCGTCAACCTCAGCTCAACATCTGCTCTCGCAACAATGGTCTGTAGTTGCAGTTACCACCCCGATCCAGCTGCTCAAAAGTCAGCGATGCCATTACTCTTACGTCACTGGCCCGAGTGTCTCGCTAAAGGCAAAGAGAGGGACGACGATATGCCCCTCCATGGCTTTGGTCCCTGGAGATAGAAGACATTCTTTTTGCCCCAACGGGTCTCAATTATACGTGCATACCATCGTATTCGAGGCCAAGTGACCTGTTGCTCTGTCAATTGCACCGGTCATTTTTGCTAATATTGGCTGATTTCCCCTCCCTTCTCGGACTGTCAAGCGGCAGCTTGGATGCCGAAGAGTCTCCATGCCAAGGGCAGGCACGCGTCAGCCAAAGAGGGTCGTTTCGTTTGGGTGCTGCATTAATCGTGCATACTTAACCTCATGAGTCGAGACTCCCCATCGCAACATCTCTCTCCAATTGCGCTTGCCAGAAAGAGACCCAAGACCGCCTAGTTGAACCAGTACACATACCTACCTTGTCTTTATCTTACTTGTCGGTCTTTTTGCGGCTGCATCGCGTCTTGTCGCCCAACGCAGTCCTCAGACCATTGCCAGTGCCGCTGTTGCCAGCCACAACATCATCGTCGCTTCATCAGCTCTTGGCCGAATACGCAGAAGCCTCTGCTGCCATCAAGACACGGCCACCACCGACGCCTACCTGTCTTGACTGATTGCGATCTCTCAGTGCCTAGCACCTTATCCTATATCATCACGCGGCTCTCATTGCTCTGTACCTAGACCTAGTTCCCCGGCAAGCCGCTCTGCATTCCTAACCAGGTGAGACCTATCCATTGTTTCTGGAACCGGTACATTCCCTTCACATTCTTGGCCCATACGTTGCGCGGTAACGCTGCAAATCTTCACGTTCTGGACTGCGGCAATCCCACCCGTGGGCTTACCACTATCGGTTCACCGAGGACTGTCCATTGTTGATGTGTGGCTGCTTTCACCATGACACCTGTTTATATGAGTTGGAGCACCGCTCCTATACTACCTCATGCAGAATTGAGGAACTTCTCTCCCTGCCACGCGCTACCTAACATCACCCCAAAAGCCAGAAGCAGGCTTGAACATCCTCTACAACCTCATACTAACACGATAAGATCATTGCCTCCCCCGCAATGGCGGGCTTTCATAAGAAAATGGGGATCCTCAGGCTAACTTTGATACAGGTCCTCCTCTGTGAGAACGCACTCGCCCTATTTCACCAGCAACACGTTCGCCTTCACGATACTCACCCGGATTCGGTGTCTCTCGGCCAATTGAACGTTCGGGCTTTACTCCTCGATAGTCGTGATATAGCTTGCGTGACAGAGACGGCGAACGTAACCGTAACAGTCAGGGCCACGAAAGGATCACAGCAAACATCAGCACCAGCATTGGATAACTCCCAGGTTCCCAACGTCGTCACCAGCGCCGAAGCTAGCGGAACAGTAGTAATCTTGCCATCTCTGACCAACACAGCGCCTCAAACTTCTGGATACGTTGCGACTGGTCTTACTGCATCGGGCAAGGTTACGTCTTGCCCTCTTATGTCAAACCCTATTCCGACGCCTTCATCTCTCATCGACACAGCGGCGCCTGCTACTTCAGTTGCGCCACTTCCGTCTGCACCAATGCCTTCCGGAGACATCTTTTCTGAGCCCATTGGCACTGGGGCACCCCCGGGCACCATCTCAGCCCGCAGTGATCACCCGGTTCCGAGAAAGGGCATCACCTCGAGCTCACCGATTCAGACAAACAAGTTTTACTCCAACTTCTTCCTCGGAGACCAGACGGCGCCGACGTACACCTACCCTTACGGCATAGCATGGGGGGCAGGACGAGGGGCCGCTGCCAGCTACGGCATGACGATTTCCCACATCGAAGCGAGCCAGCGTGTCTTCGGCCCGACCAAGGCGGATTCTGGAGCTGCGTCTTATTTCATTAACCCGGTAGGTATTCAATCAATGGTAATTAGCGCTCAGGAGCTCGGGTCGGACACCGCGGTGGGAATCGACAGCATCACGGCCTTCTCTGCAACAATTCACCTAAAGCCGAATGCCCAAGCTGTGCCGGCGGTTTCTTTCCCTCTCGTCCAAGGAATGCCCTTCATCACAGCCCAGTATGCCGGCGCGACCCCCGTGATCCGCACGGGAGTCTTCTTCAGGACGGTTACGCGGGTGACACAGGACCCCAAGGCCGGCGTTGCCAAGTACACTTTCCAGCTCGAAGACGGCAAGATCTGGCGGTTGTACGCATATGCAACCACCGGATCCCAGCTCAACCTGCAGGTTGTCAACAACGGTCTCGCCCAATCAACGCAGCCGTTCTACGGAATCATTCAAGTCGCCAAGGATCCTGGAAATGGAGAGGCACTGCTTGACCAGGCGGCCGGTGTTTATCCCACGACAGTCGCGCTGTCTGGTTCAGTGAGCGGCACCACGGGCTCGTACACGTTCAAGTTTGCCAAGGACGGTCATCCTGATGGCAAGCTGGTCATGTACGCGCTGCCGCACCATGTCTCCTCATTTGATTCTACGACAAGAAATGGTGTTCAGCCGGTTCAGCTCATGACTCCTGCCAAGGGTATCGCAACAGCAGTCTTGGCTGACCAGTGGACGATGCAAGAGTCGAACTTGCCTGTGAGCATGGGTTTCGCTCCTTGGAGCCCTGACCAAGGCAGTCTCACCACCCTGTCTGACAATGCCAAAGTCGTGATCCGCGGGATAGCAGCCCAGGAGGTATCCCAGGACATGATGGCTCAGTCTGATCTGGACTCCATGTACTTCAGCGGAAAGGTAAGTCTACTTCATATATCTGTGAAACGTCTCAACTAACTCGCAACTAGGCCCTGGCCAAGTTTGCCTTACTGATTATTGTGATCAATGACATTTTGGGTGACCCAGCATTGGCGCAGTCAGGCCTGAACAGGCTCAAGGCAGCGTTTGCCACGTTTGCTACCAACAAACAAAAGTACCCGCTGGTATATGAGAGTAAGTTGTGGTTTCTCGAGACGATACATACATCCCGCTAACCAGGCCCAGGCGCTTGGGGAGGTGTCGTGTCTTCGGCAACCTACGTCACGGGCAACGACGGCGCCGACTTTGGCAACACGCAGTACAATGACCACCATTTTCACTATGGCTATCATATACTTGCAGCCGCAGCCATTGCTCATTTGGACCCGAGCTGGCTGAGTGCGAACAAGGACTATGTGAATGCCCTGGTGCGAGACGTGGCCAACCCCAGTACCCAAGATACCTACTTCCCTACGTGGCGTGCTTTCGACTGGTACCATGGCCACAGCTGGGCCCATGGTCTGTACGCCTCGTACGATGGAAAGGTGAGATCAACCTTTACTCGAGGTTTGAAGCACATGAACTAACAAGGACAACAGGACCAAGAATCAAGCTCCGAAGACATGATGCACGCCTATGCCCTCAAGATGTGGGGTGACGCCTCGGGCGACAGCATGCTCTCGTCGCGAAGCAACCTCCAGCTCTCCATCATCGCCCGCGCCCTCCAGGATTACTACCTCTACAAGAGCGACAACGTCGTACAGCCACCCCAATTTATCGGCAACAAGGTGGCCGGCATCCTCTTTGAGAACAAGATTGACCACACGACCTACTTTGGCGCTAACATCGAGTTCATCCAAGGCATCCATATGATTCCCCTCCTCGCGCCCTCGCCTTTTGTCCGCACACCGGCCTTCGTCAAGGAAGAATGGGACGTGTACTTTAGCAACGGACGCGTCGATACTATCGCGGGCGGCTGGAGGGGTATCATCTATGGAAACCTTGCGACGATTGACGGTAAGACGGCGTGGAACTTTTTCAACAGCTCCAACTTTGATCCTAGCTGGATCGACGGCGGCGCGAGTTTGACGTGGTACTTGACGTATGCAGCTCGTAAGTCTCCTCCCGATCTCAGCCTTGTCACAGTACGGGCAAATACTAACACATCATCTTTCAGTGATGGGCAACGTCTAAGACGTTTTTCAACACCCTGAATGGGAAACCACACCCAGTCCTAATTCAACACTTACATGACTGGTGTATGGAATGAACGACATGAAGATCAAGAAGGGCGGCACCATTCGAATTCGGTTTTCTCTTATTTCTTTTTTCTTATTGCGCGTGGACGAAGTAATGAACGACGAAATAACAATGAGCAACGAGCATGACATGAAGAGATGGGAACAACGAAACAAATGTAATGCCTCAATACGAAACACGACACGAAATTCCTACGACACACACGCTCTACTCAAACAGAACCTTAGATTATATCTTTTTATCACGAAGAAAGGAAAATTTTGCAATTGCCTCTCAGCCTTTGAGTGTCCATACTGAGTACACAAAAGTGAAAGAAAAAAGTGCCTGCCAAGCGAATAAATGCCAAGCCTCTCCCTCTCTCATCTCAAGTCGTCAAAACGTTCATCTGTCCTCTGATCATAACGATCTGGCTGATATTATAAGCGACCGTGGTAATAATTCAGACGAAATGAGCCCGCCAAGACACGGTGACCATTCGGACCCCGTTGAATCATGTACATAATAGGTGAACAGATGAAATATGCAATACACACATCCGGTATCCCAAAAAACTGTTGGACAGCCAGCTGAAGAATGCAGGGTCTGCATTTCGCAGCGGTCACAAATCAGCCGAGCCTCGTGTGCCACTCACCTGCAGGAGGGCGAGACAGCTAAGCATCCCAAGCCTCAAGGTAGCTCAAGCAACGAGCTCGGGGCGTGCAAGCAAGGAAAACACGGCACATGCATTTTTATGATCCACCCCCTCCATCATTGATAAAACGGGAGAGCAGCCCAGCAGCAGATTGACAAGAAAATCCCAGGGGGGCGGATGGGTTTCTCTTTGGCAGGGCCACGGATGACGCGTCACCCATCCACGTAACACGGGCCCCCGGCTTCTCTAGCTCTTGGGGGCAGCGAGGGGTACGAAATGCGAATGAACGGGAAGAGAAAAAAGATTGGGGGCCGGAAGGCTAAGCTTTTTGGTCGCCACAATGCTTATTGCAACTGCTGGTTAGAATCAGGCTGCCGGCGGACAAAGTCTTGGTCTAGGTCTCTTGTGCAGAGAAACGATCAGCTTGATCAGCCAGATCTGTATCGATCTTGAAGTTGCAAAGATGGTGTCGAGATGCCGGTGTCTACTGTGTACTGCCACATAGACATAGCATCCAAACACCGTACGGCGACTTGCGCGCACTGACTGCCAATACTGTGCTTACTTTGGTATATACGGGGATCGAGCTTCGAGCTTCCACATTCGTGCCAGCTGTCGAGATTCAGAAAATCGTCCTGGATGTGGAGTGGAGGCGAGATTTCGATTTCCCAGGAAGATCATCAACTTGGCTTGCGATGTTGCTGCATCGCGTCAGAGCAGCAGGCATCTTGTTGTATCAAGAGCCACGTGAGGTAAACTGCCTTAGCCTTGTGAGTCGAAGAAGGGCCAGCGGTCACAAACCGCCATGGATGCAAGGTCTCGTTGATGTCTGGTCTTGCCAAGTCTCTTACCAGCTGATGCGTGATCCTTACTACTCGGAAGTCGGCACAGCTGGCTCAGGTACGATGCCTTTCAGCTCGGTAGGGCATTGACTGACAGTGCACCAGAGATGACATCCCGTGTTGGGGCGAGGATATAAGACGAAATTCTAGTAGCAAGGTATTCGCGTAACCGTCATCCTTTTCTACCAAATCCGCGTCTGGGCGGATGTAGTAATAAAGGCACTGCTACTCCGTACTTGTCCCAAAATTGATTCAATCTGAACCAAGTCCGTTGTGCTGGCACCTTGCTGCTCTGCCAACATCAGTGGATGCAGTCAGCTTAGAAGCATGAGTGCTGTGGCCGTGTTTGTCCGCGAGGATTTGCCAAGCATGATCATCGTTGGTTGTTTCTATGACGGGTGTCCATGAAGTCGACTTTGAGATCTTCATACCGGCAAGTCTTCGACATTGAGAGAAGCTACTGCTGCTTCTCCTTGCTATGTTAGCCGGCTGGCCAAGCCCTCAAAGCCACGTGCCTCTTACGAAGCACCCTACGCAACAGACAGCAGGTGCTTTGGCATCACCGTATCAGAGAACGTTGCCGGAGTTTAGTGGGGTTTGCTGTGTCTTTCGAATGGATGGTGGTGGCTGTGAAGGTGCCAGCGCACGAATTTCGCGTGGAAGCGCGCGCATGAAGCATGGTGTGGAGGATGACTCGGGATTCGGCTGGGAAGTAATATCAATCGGCGACAGGCCAGCCTCCGTGCCCGTCCCCGCAATTCAGAGTTGGGGAAGTAACGTCGGAAAGGCTAATGTAGAGCAGCATTTGACTTGAATATTACTGCGACGCAGACGTGCCAAGCTCGAAGACCATGAGTCGGGCCATCAAATCGCAAGGCTGTGTGTGTGGCAATGAGCACATGAATTCTTTTCGGCTGAGTAAAAGGCCAAGACTGACGATGCTTGGCAACGAGGCTTTGATGATGGTGAGGATCACAGTAAAGCGGCAGCGAAGTTTATCGATAAAGAATCATGGCGATAAGGGGACCAACGTAAGGGGATTCCTGGCCCCATGTCCGGTCAAGGTTCGAAATGGCATTCAGCGATGGATTGGGGGTCCGTAGATCGGTGCAGGGGACTCCGAAAGCGAATGGACAGGGCGGACCCCCGCCACCCTCAGCAAGCCAAGGCAAGGCGTTTCGCAGGGCAACCGAAAACAGCATTTGGCCAGAGAGTACGGAGTAGACTCTGGAGCTTGTTTGTCGCCGTCGTTGTCGTTTTGGGTGTGAGATGGAACTCTGGGCGCCCTATCTGAGCCCGAGGTTGTATGGATGCTCTCCGTATTGTGACCGAAATAACTCGGAGTGTTGAATCGAAGCAACAATCTTCAGACGAGCACAGCACTTGGGGCCCCGTTTGACGTTTTGGACAGAGTCAAGGGCGGCGAAAATGAGCCAGCAACTGGGGCTCTGCTACGGATACAGTAGTGCGAGCGTGGTATTGGCACGATTGGGTAGCGAGTGCCATGGTGAATAGTGGGCTGGAGCTCGAGCTGTTTGTCGCATATCGTCTGGTCCCCTGAGCCGAAAGTCAAGACGAATTCCCTGAGAGTGGGACGGCTTCGTGCCGAGACGAGGAATTGTGGAAAGGCAGTGTCAAGCCAAGACTGAGCTTGATCATTTTTGACTCCAAGGTTTGGAAGGTTGCTGAGGCAATGCGAGGCGGGCGCGCAGCATTGGGTTCGAACAAGATGAGTGTGGGTGACCAACGGGCAACGATAGTGTTTGCATTTTTGATAGGGGCTGTCCAGCGAATGTATCGATAACGATGGTCTCTCTTCTTTTCGATGCGAGGAGCCGTGTAGCATGTGGATTGTGTTCCTGGTGACGAGGGAATGGAAAGTTGACAGCAGACGATGACGGAAAGCATGGGAGCTATCGGTAGCGTGATGGATAGCAGGTACGTATCCCTCGGAACCTTCGTACTTGGGGAAATGGAAGGCGCTCCTACTGGCGGAGATGTGGGAGGGAAGGAGTGAGCGAGTTCACAAGTGACATTGTGCAAGAGCAACTCAGGGAGGGAGGGATCCAGGGAAAGCTCCTTAGCTCACTGCTCAAGAGGGTAAGTGGGCGGGCGCCGAACAGGAAACAGCGGAGAAAGATGAGAAGCAACGCCAGACAACACAGCCACGCTTGGCATCCTAGCAAGCTCCTCATTGGGCGCCGCCAACATCACCCCAACCTCACCCCTTGGCTTTGGAAAGACTGAAACCTGTTCGCTACTGGCTAACCCGTTGTATGACGTTTGGGAGGGCCTTTCCCTCCCCTAGTAAAGTGGTTTTCACTGCAAAAAGGCCCATGGTTACTCAAAGCTTCTCCTTCCGGCGGTGTTTTAGTGAGGTAGATCCGTACAATGCTGTCATACCGGGGTAATCAGCAATTGTCTTGAATGCCGGTAAAGCTGGATTCAGCAGCCATTGACAAGCTGAACAGTGCTAGTCTAGTATAGTGTATCCGTATACCGACGTCGTTGAGTGGGTTTTCAATGGGTTGATATGCAAAATGTTGGTTTGGATATGTACCTTTTTGCATGTACCTTGCACTAACACGGCGTGCACCGTTCGTCCTTGCATGTATCCGGGAGGCCGCCCATGCATCCAAAAGTGTCATTCCTCGTTCCCGTCACTCCCTCTCGGCACCACAATCACACCAAGCACCACCACTTTCGCAGCAGAGACTCAGAGCGTCTGTTTCGTCCCGTCCTGTTTCTCTTTTCTTTGGGTACCACGGCATCCGTCCCACGTTCTCCATAGTAGCCTGACAGGAAAAGGGGGCTGTGTTCGTTTCTTGTTCAACCCTTCTCCCCAGCCAAGACTCTTTTGCCATCGCCTGAACTTCTTGGAACACGGCTTTGGACAACATATTGCTGCCGTTGCTACTTTTTCGGTAACAAATTACAAGCACTATCAATCACTATCAACCAGACACAGATTCACCCGATACCAAGCCCGCCTCACCTTTTTTGCATCACCGCAGAGGCTACCAATTGGCCTTGCCCTTCCACACCATCTCTTTCTCAACGGTCAAGACACAGCAACACCCTTCCCCGTAGCCCGTCGTCGAGTCGCGTCGCTCTGCTTCAAGCCTCCTGCAGTCGTGCTGCAGCAGCATCCATCGCATCGTCACGCTCACTCGCACGTTCAATCCCAAGCACCCAAGGACCCAATCCACTTGGACCCCCTCCGGTCGATACACCGTCCACATAGATTCCTCTGTAGTTTGGACTTGGCAGCCCAACACTGCTTGCCATTGCCTTGTATCTATTGGATCAAGCCGTCACTGAACCGTCCGCTACCTACCTTACCTTACTCCACTCTCTTTGCCGTCGGGCGGCGCAGGCACAGGGCCTCGAGCAGAAATCTCATCCGGTCCGTTGCGACTATCACTATCGGAAATACCCACGCGCAAAAGCTTTGTCTGCAGCTTAGGACTGCCGGCCGTGATAACAAGGTAGGGGACAGAAAAGGCCAAGCAACTCATCAAGTCACTTATAGGCGACATCATGGTGTGTAAGTACATTGCAATTCTCATTCTCTCTGCTTGATCTAGGTACGGATTTACCTTTTTATTCGCACTTTTACCACTTGACTTCTCTACTTGCCTTGTTACCTCTCTGAGCACAAATATCTCCGTTTACCACCCACGTTTGTATTATTCTGCCTTGAAACCCGCTTTGTACTTTCGCCCTTCGCACCTACTTTACCTTATGGTTTACCTGCGTCTACCAAACCTACCTACCTTGCCGCACTTATTCCACTTTCCCACTCTTCCGCTACGACATTACCTTAGTGTAGCCCCAGCAAGCCCCGTTGGACTTTCTTTCCGCCCCATGTCCTAGGTTCTTAGGTAGAGAAGCTGCATCCCTCCCCTGGACACCTTCACCTTGGCGCGCTAAGTCATTTCTACCACGGGGTGAAAGTCATTCACCATCTTTCCCTCCTCCAAGCCACACTCTGGCATCGCAACCACCCACCACCCGCTACTCTTTTTCCATTATTCCACTACACCTTTAGGATTCGGGCGCACAAATTATCAGGTCGCCCTATCCCGCGCGTGGATCGTCACTCCCTTGTCTCTTTCTTTTTCCATTCTCGCCTTTTTCTAGTACTCGCCGGACGCCTTACCCTCAAAATCCGATCCGGCTTCCCATCTGTCACATCCACGAACCGCGCGACAGGAAATTCTTCTTCTTCATACTGGTCAGGGCTCCGGCTAATTATGACGGCGCCATGTCCGACGATTCAGCCAACCAACATTTCCGCGGACAGGTCCGCTCCTGGGGCACAGCCAACAAGCCCAACGGCCGCGAAGGCGACGTGAACGAGAACTCGCCTCTTCTTTCAAATGGCAACCACTCAGGAACCCACGATAGCCACATTGTCAACGGCGACGGCGGCAACAAGACCCTGAAGTTCCTCTTCAACGCGACACAGACACCCGGCACCGATAGCCCCAATGCTGCCGTAAGATACTCATCGCACGCCTGGCATGTCACCAAGGTGTCGCTCCTCAGCAGTAAGTTCAATCATGCGATATAGCGAGATCATGCGCCGCCGTGTGCTAACAGACCGTTCTCTCTCAGACTATGTCAACTTCCTGCTTGTCATGGTGCCTATTGGCATTGTGGCCGGAAAGTTGCACTGGAGCCCAGTCGCCGTCTTCACCATTAATTTCTTCGCTATTATCCCCCTCGCTGCTGTTCTGTCCTTTGCCACTGAGCAAATTTCGATGAAGCTGGGCGAGGCCCTCGGAGGCCTGCTCAACGCTACCTTTGGAAACGCCGTCGAGCTGATTGTCAGCATTGTCGCCTTGAAGGAGGGTCAAATCGAGGTTGTCCAGTCATCTATGCTGGGCTCCATTCTCTCTAACCTGCTGCTTGTCATGGGCATGTGCTTCTTCTTTGGTGGAATCGTCAACATGCGCGACAGAGTTACTGGCCAGGGCATGGAACAGAGCTTCGCCTCTGCTACGGCGCAGACCACTTGCTCGCTGATGACGCTGTCATCAGCATCGCTGGTCATCCCCGCCACGGTAAGCACTCCCGACAGGGTATGAAACCCCGCGCTTAATGACTAACAATGCCTCGTAGCTCTACTCGGTCCTCGACAAGGCCGAAAGCGCCGAGAAGGAGCACAGCATCTTGGTACTCTCCCGCGGTACCGCCATCATCCTGCTGTTACTTTATGTCTTGTACCTCTGGTTCCAGCTGCGCACTCACCCCAACCTCTTCGATGCCGAGACCCAGCACCACCACGAGGAGGAAGTGGAGGAGCCGATCATGGGCCCTATTGCGGCGGCCGTCGTTCTCGTCGTTACCACTGTCCTGGTCGCCATCTGCGCCGATTACCTCGTCGAAAGCATCGATCCCATTGTCGAAACCGCCCACATCAGCAAGAATTTCATTGGTCTTATTCTTATCCCCATCGTCGGTAACGCGGCAGAGCACGTCACAGCCGTCGTTGTTGCTATCCGCAACAAGATGGACCTTGCTATGGGTGTTGCCATTGGCTCTAGCATCCAGATCGCCCTTCTCGTTACCCCGTTCTTGGTCATCCTCGGATGGGCTGTTCTCGACAAGCCCATGACTCTCCACTTTGAGACTTTTGAGACTGTCGCCTTCGCATTCTCTGTCCTGGTCGTCACGTACACTGTCCAGGACGGCAAGTCCAACTACTTGGAGGGTGCCATGTTGCTTGGCCTGTACATCATTATCGCCTTGGCCTTCTATGTCAGCCCTAGCGACGCTATCGATCGGGTGCTGTCCGTTGTTCAGGGTTGAGGTAACTACGCGCTGGAAATGCCAAAAGTTACGAAAAAGCAATTCGCAAGGCGCTGTCCCACCCGACTGCCTTGTATACGTCAGCAAACAACCCAAGCCTACCACCATATTCGAGTAGGCGTCTTGGCGCTGTGTCGATTACGGGACAATACCCAACAGTCACATCGAGCCCACAGACACCGAGTGACTGAACAATCTATCTTTGGGGATGATGCGCCCCCGGTGCGCATTTCCCTTGTGTACGTAGTCCGAACTGTATTATATTCCCTTGGTGTGGCTTTTTCGTTTGTGAGGCCAAGGTTTTAGGTCTCTCCGCAGAAACGGAGAAAATTGAACGGAGCAAAGGAACAGAGAAAGAAAGAAAAAATCATTGGTTCGCAAGGTCCGTAATCGCTAGTCTTTGTTCCGAATAAGAGAGACAATATATACAATTTTTCATCTGAAGAACCAAGAATTGCACTTTTTTGTATTTGCCTTTGACGCCTTGAACTATAGCCCTGGAGATAGAGAGTGCCGTGACGTGATCTATCTAGGGTAGTAGCATGTAATAATAAGAAAATAGGTCGTCTCCAACACCCAGGGTCCCACCCCTCTGCTTTTCTAGTCCCCAAAAAACCTCTTTACATTGTCGGTCTAGACATGGGGGCAATGATACCCTGCTTCTTGAGCACGCGCGGCTTGACCGCCGCCTGGTGAGATTCCTTGGTGACCCATTCCGGACCCATTGGCAGGCGGATCGAGCGCTCGTACTGCTCCTTGGACTCGAACTGGTGAGGGAGCTGTGTTGCGAGGTACTTGTCGTTCTATGAAACGATATTAGGAATGGGTCCTCACTTTGAGAGATGGAAGTATCGAAATAAGAGATGAGGGAAAGGAGAGAGATGCCAGAAATAGTCTGGTATTAAGGGGGGAGGTGGGGGGGAAGAAAGCATACCTTTTTAACGCGCTTCTCGCTGATGATAACCCTCTCCAACTTGGCATCCTTGCGGTTCGCCTTCTTGACGCCCTCGACCTTTGTAACGAACCGGCCCTGCTGGCGCTTCTTCTCGCGCGCGCTCACGCCGTCGCCGACCCAGCCGCCCCATCCAGGTAGCGTGTTGTCGACAATCTTGTCGTCGTCTGCGGTCTGGATGGCTTCCTTTTCGCGCGCGAAATCGACGACGACGTCGTCGCCCGCGAAGGCTTTGTCCATCTGGGAGATGTCGCGTATGGCGAGGGGCAGGTGGGATTCTGGGGAGTCCGAGTCCGAGTCTTCGGAGGAGGTGTCGGCTGCTGCTGCTGCTGATGTTGTCGTCTTGTTTGCTTTTGACTTTGATTTGGGCTTGGAGGAGGAGGAGGCTGTGATGGCGAGGGAGTTGTCTAGGTCCTCTACGCGCGCGCCGCTGGATTTGCCGCCCGTCTTTGCGGATTTCTTGCGCGGGCCCGAGGACCAGGCTGAGCCCGTCGTCGAGGGCTCGGCTGTGAGGGAGTAGCCCGTGTTGACGGCGCTGTTGTTGGGCGCATCGTCTCCGTCGTCCACGTCAACGTCGTCACCCCGGGCGGCAGCGGCGGCGGCCTTCTTTTGCTTCCTCGACAGCGCTGGGGCCGAGATGGCGGGCTGCGCGGCGCTGCCGTACTTCTTGCGCCCCACCTCCGTGACCTCGTCTTCCTCCTCGTCATCGCTGCCGCCCGAGTCCAGGTCCCGGCGGATCTGCGCAATGAGCTCGTCGTTTGCCTTCTTCTGCTGCGCCTCGGCCTTTTGCATGAACTTCATCTTCATCAGGTCGGACTTGGGGCCGTCGTCCTCTTCGTCGTCGATGCTCTCGAGCTGTTTCAGGAGTCTCCTGTTCTCCTTTCCGCTGCGGCGGCCGGTGCCCTCCCCGTCTTCGGATCCGTCCTCGCTGTCGCTGTCCTCTTCCTCTTCCTCCTCATCAGAATCACCTGTCCGGCCCTCCTTGCGCCGCCTCAGCTCCTCCTCGCGGCGCGCCATGTCGTGCAGACCCGCGCGATACTCGTCGTCCCAGACGGCGCGTTTGTTGGACGACCCCAGCTTGGCCCACTTGGAGTCTCTGTGTCTCGCGCCGACGCGTTCCAGCACCCGCGCGCGGTCCTGGGCATCCCGCTCGGCCTCGGAGTCGACCTCGACGTCGCCGTTCTCGGCCATGGCCTCCTTAAGCTTCGCCGCCTCGCGCTCCTTCTCCTTGCGGTGGACGCGGTGGTACGCCTTGGACTTGATCTTCTTGATGCGCGCCGCGCGCTTCGTCTCGCGCGAGGCGAGCTCCCTCTCGCGCCGGCGCTGGTGGATCATGTCCTGCAGCTCCTCCTTTGACATGCCCTCCTCCCTCTCGGCCTTCGCGCGCGCGTTCTCCCCCTGCTTGTTCATCGCCAGCCCGGACGCCTGCATGATGTTAAGAATCGTCTGCTCGAGCTCGTTGCCCGTCGAGTTCTTGGCCGTGATGGCCTGCAACTCGCGGTTGTCGAGCCCCTCGTCGGCGGCGTTCTGCGGGAGCGGAAAGACGAGGTGGTCGGCGCGGCGGTTCTGCTTCACCGTCTCCTGCCACCGGCCGATGGTCTCGCTCGTCTTCTCGTAGGCCGCCGCGCGCGCGAGGCGGTCTTGCTGGCGCTTGTACAGGGGCACCTCGAGCTTCTTGCCCGCGCCGGGGCGGGACGCTTCTTTTTCTTCTTTGGCCATGAGCTTGACGGATTTCCGCATCTGCGCGTCCTTGACGCCGGACAGGCCGAGGTCCTTGAAGCTGATCTTTTGCTTTTGCTTTGTGGGGGCGGCATCCTGGTCTTCGTCGTCACCACCAAAATTGGCGATGAACTTTTGGAGATCGCCGAGTTTGGAGGGGTCCGCTTCCTGGTCGTCTTCGTCCTCGTCTGAGGAGGGCGGGCTCTCGGCCTCGGAGTCTGAGGCGTCCGAGTCGTCTTGGCCGTCCTGGTCTGCCATGGACTCGTCGGACTCGTACTCGTCGAGGGCTTGGGCCAGGTCTATCGCGTCCTCGCCAAGGGACTCATCGTCACCTTCGTCGTCTTCCTCTTCTGAATCGTCCTGTGTAATCTCAGTCAGCTGTGGAAGCTCTCTCGTGGGCATGTCAAAATGCTTTGTTCGCCACCCACCTGATTCTTCTTCTTGCCCTTGCTACCGCCGAATGCGTAACCCTGGAAATCCTCGTGATCGCTATCGCCAAAGGCCTCGTCACTGTCGAGCTCCGAATCCTCGTCTTCGTTGACGCCGTAGTGCCACTCGTTTCCGTCGCTGTCACTCTGGTACTCGTCGGAGTCACCGCCTGCGCCGCCAGCAGATGGCTTGGCCTTCTTTCGCCTGGGCTGGTCGTCGTCCTCGTCTTCGTCGTCCTCTCCATCTTCGTCGTCATCGTCGTCGGCGGCGCGGCGCTTTTTCCTAGCCTCCGGTGCGGCTTCGATCTCGCGGAAGCGTGGAGTGCGCTTCTCCTTGGGCGCGTACAGCTCGGAAGCGGTGGTGAAGGCGTCGAGGGCCTTGACTTGGGCTTTGTTCTTCGACTTGCGGAAGGTCTTTGCCGCCGGCTTGCTGGAGAGCAGAGGTCGGCCGTGGGCTTGCCGCCCATGGGATTGCCTTCCGGGGGGCATCTTGTGTGTACAAAGTAGACGAAAAATAGGTGTCGACTTTGGTTGCGAAAGAAGTGACGCCGAAACAAAAGTTGAAAAGTCGTCGACCGTGTCCCGCCTCAGCTCGGATTGCAGCGCACACACACAGTTCGTGGTTCCCCAAAGCACCGAGCATGGGCAACTTTTTCAAATTCTGCCATAGTGGGCGCAAGGCGGTGAGCCAGAAATTTACAGCGGGGCGCACATCGAAGACCCGGACCCCTGCTCGATTCTCAAAGTGTCGGATTCCAGTGGTCTCCAGTTTTCTGTTCCGCGCCGCTGCCCACCGGCGTCCACTGACCGTCCAGGCCGACTCCAGAGTCCAGGGGACCTTTGCGCGATCGAACGAGTGGGCCCACTTTCCACACTGATCAAGCCGAAGGGACCCGGAACTGACCAGCCAGGGAAGTCCGACCACTGGGCTGCCCTGGATTTCCAAAATAATTTATTCTATGATTCATTTATACCTACAACGTTCGCTCCTCCACCCCCAATTGCGATCTGGAAACACCACCAACACCACCACCACCAGTATGGCGTCGTTCGCACCAGGCCTGCGGAGGCTCGCCGTGAGGGCATCCCCCTCGCTCTTCGTGTGCCGCCAATGCCAGCGTCAACAGCCGCAATGGCGCTCGTCCCCGTCCCGCGTCCTCGACACCATCGTACGATCTCAGCAGCAGACCCGGAGCTTCACCCAGACCAAGGCGCCGCTCAACTTCAGCAGCAACGCCGTCATCGCAGACAAGCCGTCCGCCTCGATCGCAGCGCAGGCTGTGGCCAAGGCCAAGAAGGCCACCAAGAAAAGGGCGTGGCCTGAGACGAACTCCAAGTCTGTGGGATACTGGCTCGTCGGCAGCGCCGTCAGCGTTTTTGGCATCGTCGTCTGGGGTGGCCTCACACGATTGACTGAATCTGGGTAACAAACCTCCCCTTCTTCCACTACTGCCCCCTAGGAATGCAGCAGCTAACCCCTTTTTAATGCAGCTTGAGCATCACCGAATGGCGTCCCGTAACCGGCTCCATGCCCCCGATGAACCAGGAAGACTGGGAATCCGAGTTCGAAAAGTACCGCGCCTCCCCCGAATTCAAGCTCCTCAACCCGCACATGGACCTGGCCGAGTTCAAAAAGATTTACTTCATGGAGTGGTCCCACCGCCTCTGGGGCCGCTTCATCGGAATGTCCTTTGTCCTGCCCACCCTCTACTTCATCGCCCGCCGCCGCGTCACCCCCAAGATGGCCGTCAACCTCTGCGGCATCTCCTGCCTCATCGCCTTCCAGGGCTTCATCGGCTGGTGGATGGTGAAATCCGGCCTCAAGGACGACCTCTTCGCCCCCGGCTCCCACCCGCGCGTCTCCCAGTACCGCCTGACCGCCCACCTCGCCACGGCCTTCGTCTGCTACTCCTGGATGCTCCTGTCCGCCCTCACCGTCTTCCGCACCCGCCGCCTGCTCGCCGACCCCGCCGCCGCCAACAAGGCCCTCGCCGCCCTCCGCAACCCGGCCATCAAGACCTTCCGCCGCCTCTCCTTCGCCCTCGTCGCCCTCGTCTTCACCACCGCCATGTCCGGCGCCCTCGTCGCCGGCCTCGACGCAGGCCTCATCTACAACGAGTTCCCCTACATGGGCCTCGGCCTGACCCCGCCCTCGGGCGAGCTCTGGGACAAGTTCTACTCGCGCAAGGAGGACGGCTCCGACCTCTGGTGGCGCAACATGCTCGAGAACCCTAGCACCGTCCAGCTCGACCACCGCATCCTCGCCATGACCACCCTCTGCTCCATCCTCTCCCTCTTCGCCTACTCCCGCACCCGCCGCGTCGCCGCCGCCCTCCCCGCCAACGTCAAGAAGGGCGTCCTCGGCACCGTCCACCTCGTCCTCATGCAGGCCGCCCTCGGCATCAGCACCCTCATCTACATCGTCCCTGTGCCCTTGGCCGCGGCGCACCAGGCCGGCGCCTTGGCGCTGCTCTCTGGTGCCTTGGTCCTTGGACACCGTCTGCGCGTGCCAAAGTCAACTCTGGCTATGATCCAGAAGCGGATGAAGGCCAAGGCGAAGGCTATCAAGTACAGCAGGCGTTCCTAGGCCCGGGTCCACTCTCCCAATGACTTGCGACTTACTCCCTACAGAGTTACAGTTTTACATTATTTGGTTTAACTGCATTATGGCAGCGACAACATTTTTTGCATTATGGCAAGTACGATACACACAAAAGCAAGTAGATATGTATAACATTGTAGCAACAACGGATGGACACGGCCAGCCCTTTGAGGCGGTCATTGTGTACCTCGAATTTATCCCATTCAAAAACATTTTGTTCATTTTTTTTTTTAATAGAAGCTCAACTCTAGACTATGGAACGTCTGCCGGATATCACTGGGGGCGTACACTTTTTCTTTTTATCTTCTCCGCGTGCGTCACTTGTAGACAACCATACAGGGCGATTCGTCTTGACATCCGATCCCAGCCATCTTGAGAACTCTCTATTTGTGGGCTGTGATGCATTATTAGCCTCAAAATTTCGCTGCAGCGGAAAGCAATCAAGACTTACCAATTCCCTCCTCGGGAACAGGCTTGACGCCGACGACCTCAGCCGCGGAGGCCTTCTTCTCACCCTGCTTCTCCTCCTTCATGAAGGGGAAGGCAAGCACCTCACGGATGCTGTAGTTGTCGGTCAAGAACATGACCATTCTGTCGATACCCATACCCCAGCCACCGGTAGGCGGCAGACCGTACTCAAGAGACATGCAGAAGTTCTCGTCAATGAGCTGGGCCTCGTCGTCACCCTGGTCCTTCTGGCGGGCCTGCTCCTCGAAGCGCAGTCTCTGGTCAAAGGGATCGTTCAACTCGGTGTAGGCGTTGACAATCTCCTTCTTGCACACAAAGGCCTCAAAGCGCTCGCACAGACCGGGAATGTCGCGGTGGTACTTGGCGAGAGGGCTCATGACTTGCGGGTGGCCGAAGATGAAGGAGGGGTTGACGCACTGCTCCTCAATGTACTCGCCAACAAGCTTGTCGATCATGCGGGCGTTGGTCAGGGGCGGTGAGCACTCGAGGTTCATCTTCTTGAGAACCTTCTGGAGGAACTCGTTGGTCTCGGCAGTGTGCAGCTGGTCGGCGGGAGGGAACTTCTCGCCCGTGGCCTTCTCGAGCTCGGGAATCATCTCGAAGCGCTTCCAGGGCTTCTCCCAGTTGACCTCGTAGACCTCACCGTGCTGGGTGTGGAACTTGGTCTTGTAGCCGCCAGTGACGTGCTTGACAAGGCCGCTCACGAGCTCTTCGGTCAGGTCCATGATGTCGTAGACGTCGGCAAAGGCTTGGTAGAACTCGCAGGTGGTGAACTCGGGGTTGTGCGTCAAGTCGATGCCCTCGTTTCTGAATTGACGGCCAAGCTCGTAGACGCGGTGGAGGCCACCAACGACGAGCTCCTTGAGATAGAGCTCAGGAGCGATTCTCATGAACATTTGCATGTCAAGGTCGTTGTGGTGGGTCTTGAAGGGGGCAGCAGTGGCACCTCCAGCGATGGGACCCATCATGGGTGTCTCAACCTCGATAAAGTCCCTGTCGTCGAAGAAACGTCTGATGTAGGTGACCATCTTGGATCTTGCGATAAGGATCTGGCGGCTCTTGTCGTTCATGATGAGATCAAGGTAACGCTTGCGGTGGCGCTCCTCGTGGTCCTTGAAGCCGTAGTACTCGTCGGGAAGGGTGTGCAGGCAGGGGGTAAGGAGAATGAACTCGGTCGCGAAGATGGAGAGCTCGCCCTCCTCGCCCTTCTCGATCTTGGACTTGGGTGCGGTACGGCCGGGGTATCCAATGATACCAACAATGTCACCTATGCGCGGTCAGTATTTCGTGATTCCCACCCAATCAGGAAATTCAATGCTTGCCTCGGCGAAGGTGGACGTGCTGGTCCTCAAATGACGGGCTTCCCTCTGCGACCTCTTGCGCCTGTGCCATAACCTGGACCTTGACGCCCTCGGCACGTATATCGTAGAAGAAGAGCTTGTTGCCAGAGGCACGCTTGTTGTAGATACGAGCGCCCACGCGGACGACCTTCTCCTTGTCATGCTCGCCAGACTTGAGGTGACCAAAGTCCTTGACAAAGTTGCGCAAGTCGTAGTCGGCTGCAACGTTATCAGTATAAAAGTCTAGGGATAATGGTGTTTGCAGATCTCACTGTGGAACTTGTGGGGGTAAGGGTTGGGAGACTTGGTCTCGCGCAGCCTATCGTCATAACGTCAGCCCATGCAACCACTTCTTCATCTCCGCGGGAAAAACGCACTTGTTGATGGCGCGGGATCGGTTCTCGAAGTACTGGCTGGGGTCGAGGTTCTTCTCGTCGGCCTCAGCGTTGCCCTTCTTGGCAGCAGCAGGCTTGGGAGGGGCAGCGGCGGCCTTCGCAGCCTTAGCAGCCTCTCTTTCGCGGGCCTTCTGGCGCTTCTTCAGCTCCGTCTTGGAGACCATCTCGCCGGTGACCTCATCCTTGAGAAGCTTGGCGGTCTCCTCGACCTTGAGGTCCTTAACCTGCTCGGTGGGGGGTTCGGGAGCACTTGAGTCGGCCATGATTGCGGTTTGCTGTGTCCACAAGATGTTTGTCAGGAAACAGAATCTGGGGGAGGGTGTGCGGGGGAATTCCCGTCGTTAAATCAGGGAACGGAGGTTGACTCACCAAATTTGTCTTGCGTCTCGCGATCGAAGTTTTACCAGTCAAAATTATTTAATGCCGGGACGAGGGGCAGCAGTGCATTGGCTACGGCGGGGTAGTGCCATTGACTCATTTGCCCTGACTCACCGCCTTCGATGGAGGGGCAGAGCGACCTGCGGGGGGAGGGGTGCTTTCCCTGCCAGGCGGGCTGTGTCACGATAAGCTCAGCACTGTATTCTCGCACTGCTACCCCTGAGCCCCTGAATGGTGTTCACGATGCTGCAAAAGCGGTCCAATTTGAACTCCAAGCGTGGAAAGGTGGTCGAGGATACTTTCCGT